AGCCCCTTCTTTCAGTTTTGAATAAGCTAACCAATTAAATGTGTTAAACCATTTCAACTGAAAAGTACGTTTAAACTTGCCATTATCTTGAGCTGGAAATTTATAATTTACATCAGGCACCCATAAATTATGTAAAATTAAAATTTTTTCTGTATTGGTTAGAGGTTTTGAACAATTTATATAAAGACCAATATCATATTTAGAATCAGATTCTGTCTGTAACTCTGATTTATCAATTTGTTTTTTTCTTCAAAAACTACAATATTCTGTGTTTTCTCATTTTCTTCAATGATAGGGTCACTGCAGTTTGACTAATATAAAAAAATATTTATTTATTTTCATAATTGGATTAAGTGGTTTAATATTTATAGGTAAGCATTTATTTTGGAAAATATTATAAAGTCAAAACAATTAAATAAAAAAGTCATGAACAATATTATAAATATTATGTTATAAAGTCGACGCGACGCGACGGCGAAGTATGAAGTCTTAAAAATGTATTAAAATTAATTTTAAAACCATATATACAGTTCAGTAATTTGTTTTTTTTCATAATATTTATATGAACCTACAACGTATCTTCTAATACAAATTAAACATTTTACTTACATTTTTTGTTTTTTTGTGAAAAAATTCAAAAAAGTTTGATTTTTTCTTTTCTCTGCCATTTTTTGTGAGTTAGATTGAAAAATTTAAATCCTGTACAGTAACCACGTTGCACAACCAAAATATCAAAATGGCAAAATAATACGTTCTGCATTCACTGCGATACTGCCCGACTGCCGGTTTATAATATTTTCCGACGCCCGTTTGTGTATATTTATTATTTATACCCTTATTACATTATACGATTAGTGTAAAGTCGTAAAGATAAGAACAGTCGTCGCCCGTCGGGTGTCTTGTCACTAATCGCTTACAAATAATTATTTATAGATTTTATCATGAAACCGACCTATGCATAATGTTATATAAGTAATAATATATGCATTAAATACCTACTAGCACGACCGAAGCTGTAGAAAACTAACAAAATAAAGATGACAATTTAAAATTAGTAAAATACAATTTAAAACTTTTTGAGCGAATATTATAGACCAGAGGTTCCCAAACTTTTCATACTCGTGGCGCCCTTTTAGAACTGAAGTTTGCTCATGGCGCCCTTAATAAAATTTACGACTTTTTTTTAAATAAAATAGATAAAATAAGAAACATGTTTAATTTTCAATAGATAATATGGAAGTATTTATTTTATATAATTACACACTGAAATATTTAATTTTAATTTTATTAGGTAAAATAAATTAGACTTAGTTTATTTGTAGAAAACAATTGAATTAGTGAGATGGATGAGCCTGGACATCACTGCATATTTTTTCAAATCTTGGGATCAAACTTGATACTGCTACTCTCATTTCCTCCTCCACATTGATTTTTGACCGATATTTGCTTTTGATCACAGCGACCACCGAAAACCCAGCTTCACATAAATATGAAGTAGAAAACGGAATTAAAACACGTAGAGCTTTTTCACATACAATTGGATATTCATTTTTTATTGAAATCCAAAATTTGGTCAATTCCATATTGGTAAATTTTGATTTCAAGCTACTGTCGCAAGACAACTCAATTAGACTTTCTTCTTCAGTAGAATTAAATTCTGATGGAACAATGGAGTTAAATGGATCTTGAATCCATGCAAATTTATCAATGTCTTCATTTTTAAAATATTTCTCAAACCATACCACTAGCTGTGATAAGTGATCTTCAAAAATGGATTTCATATCTTGAGAAATCTCAACTGTATTAGAGGTCAGAAACTGCTGCAATATGGAAAATGAATCTTTGCTCGTGCCTTCATTCATTTGTCTTCTCCATAGTTTGAGTTTTTTTATAAAAGCTGTCATTTTATCCATCGACTTTAAAATATGCGTGTTATTTCCCTGCAATGAGGTGTTCAATGCATTCAGTTTTTCAAAAATGTCACACAAGTATGCCAATTTTATTAAAAAATTTTCGTCAGAAAAATCATTGGCATATTTGTGCCCTTCTTCTTTAAGAAATATGTAAATTTCTTGCCGCAGTTCAAACGTACGTGATAAAACATTACCACGAGACAGCCATCGTGCATTGCTGTAATACAACAAACTTGAGTGTTCAGCTCCCATATCATCACATAATTTTTTGAAAAATCTAGCCTTCAGGGGACGAGTTTTTATAAAATTGACTACATTCACTACACATTCTAACACTTGGTTCAGCGCAGGACTTAGATATTTTGCCGCAAGTGCTTCTCTATGGATAATGCAATGGGTCCACAGTGCATCAGGGGCTTTGCTTCTAATAAGTGACTGTAATCCTCCATAACTGCCAGACATGGAACGAGCGCCATCAGTACAAACACCGACGCATTTTATCCAATCTAACATATTTTCTGACATAAAATTATTAAGAATATCAAATAAGTCCTGGGCCTTAGCGCTTGCCGTAATATTTTTACAAAAGAGTAGGTCTTCTACCATGTCATCACCATCTATAAACCTAACATAGCATATCAAATGAGCATCCTTATTATTATCCGTAGCCTCGTCCAGCTGCAACCCGAATTCCTTTTCTTTGATTTTTTCTATCAATTGATCATTAAGGTCCTCCGCCATATGGTGAATTCTGCGGCTAACCGTATTATTGGATAAAGGCACTTTTGAGAGTAATTTCCCAGCAGATTCACCAACCATAATATTTACCATATCTATAGCAGCTGGTAAGATAAGCTCTTCTGCAATGGTATGGGGCTTCTTACATTTCGCAATTCTATAGGAAACTTTATAAGATGCAATCAAAGCATTGGTTGGTATTGATGCATTCTTGAAAAACGTACTTTTTTCCTGTTTTAGTTCTTTTAACTTTCTAATAAAATAATCGCGAGGTTTTCCAATCGTATACTTGTGGTTTGCTTCTAAATGGCGCTTCAATTTACTCGGCAACATGCATTCTGGTGCCAAAACTTTCATACATAATACACATAGTGGTCTCTCTTCACCATTAATTTCTGTTGATGTAAAACCAAAATCCAAATAACTATCGTCATACTTACGACATTTTCGCTTTTTTACCGTTTCACCGCGACTGGTTGATGGTAAAATTTCTTCGTCTTCTAAAGTACTCGCACGTTTACGATTGTTTAATAAAAATCGATCCATAATTAAACCCAGAACAAATTTATAACTTAAAGAAAATCACAGAACTCACTAAATATATATTCTTAAGAAACTTGAACAAATAATAACACACCGAGACTGATATATGAGTGTATAGTTAATCAATACTAACGCAAAAACGAATTTAACCAGACACGAACAGTCGTTTATCTTTATCAAATACAATAATTGGTTAGTATAGTAATAATAACTGACTATAGGAAAGCAGCATTTTTAATAATGAAGATAATCAAAATGACCGTGTCGTTATCGTAAAATATCCTTGTTTATTTTTAGAAAATGGTCGGCAGCGAGGCGCAGCCGCGGCTCCCTTGACTATTCACCGCGGCGCACCAGGGCGCCGCGGCGCACAGTTTGGGAACCTCTGTTATAGACCATTAAAATAATTTTTAAATTTTCGGGGGGGCTGCAGCCCCCTCAGCCCCCCCTGGCTACGCCACTGCGTGCTGATATTGCTGAAGAAGCTGCTAAGTACGGCAAAACATTATTAACCCCTGATCCAGGCTGTCAATATGATCAGGTAATTATTTTTATTAACCATTACAATGTTCAGTGTCATCAACGATTTAATATTTTAATTTTTACTTTTATTTTATAGTTAGTTGAAAATGATTTGACGACAGAACCTTATGTCAACGGTCCCTTCACACCTGATATTGCGCACCCTATATCTAAACTTGGTAATAATGCCAAAATAAATGATTGGCCCAATGAAATTAAAGTTGGTAAGTTTCTTACAGTTGAGCTCATTTGTATCGTATCAATGAAATATTAGGAGATATAACTTTAAAATAAACGAAAATCTCAATGTATGCAAATTCTTAATTTAAGTCAAACTTAATTGATTCAAATATTTATTATGGAGCAGTGTGGTAATTAATTTTCATTTTATTAAGGGTTCGAACTGGCTTAGTGAAAAAACGTTCTACAGAATTAATTCTCTCTTCTGTCATAATTTTGATCGATTTACACTGCTTTTCACTTGACTAAGTCCACTAGGAGTGAAGTTTACACATGTGATAATTTTTTACTCATCGAAAAAGATACAAGTGTTACTTTACTTTCCCCTTCCTAAGTGAAAAAAATATCTTAAAACGCCTCTGACTATCGTTTCAATGAAAAATCTGAAAGAAATATATATATATATATATGTGTGTTAACTAAAGAACCCATTTTACACTTATATGATATACATACACAATATTTTGTTTACTTTTTAATTACGATTTCAAGTTTTTTCCTCACAAATAACAAATTTTTATTATTTCAGGACTTATTGGAAGTTGTACAAATTCAAGTTATGAAGATATGTCAAGATGTGCCACCATTGCCAAAGAAGTCTTGGCTCATGGTCTTGAATCAAAAATTCCATTTAATGTTACACCTGGATCAGAACAGATCAGAGCTACTATTGAAAGAGATAGAATCGTATATAATTATTTTAAATTAATATTTTTGTCTATCTTTTAAATTATGATATTATTTAGGCACAAATTTTAAGAGACTTTGGCGGTACAGTTTTAGCTAATGCTTTTGTGGTCCATGTACCTATTGGTCAATGGGACCGTATAACTCTATTAGAGATTTTGTCAACAAATATGTACTTTTATAAATGTGCATGTGATGATATCTATGTATATTCCAGTGTTGGCCTGGTACCTAAAGTGCCCTGGAGGTTTTTTTCATATAAACCTGCAAATATCTCATCTAACTATGAAAATTGCTTATATGTAGTCCAAAACATAATTTTTAATGGTACGTTATTTAAAATGTACAAACAATTAATTTAATCACTTAGTGTTACCGATTATTTATTTAAAATTGTACTATTTTAAATAGCATAATAGCATAACACATAGAAGTTTTTTAAAATAAATAAATACAATTATGGGTTATGTGTCCACTTGTTCACATATTAAACGCGTGTACGTGACATAATATATTATTACTATATCTACTGATTTATCTAGTGTTGACTGCAGTGGCGGTGGTGATGATGGTGGTGGGTGTTGGTGGTGATGGCGTGGTACACAACGGAGCATTGTTGTTGACGACTAACGGTGCTTAAGAAGGATCACGGTGGGACGGGGCCGGCGTCCTCGGGGTACGTCATGGTTTTGAGAAAAGCGTCCGTGTTCGGCTTCAACTGGCCCGGGGCTGGGTACGTGGGTTCCGATTCCCGTGTCGGGATCAGCGCCATGTTGCGGTCGTGAAGCTCCTTGCTGGCCGCCAACGTGCTCTTGATCTTGTCGCCCGCGGACTTCATCAGCCGCACGCCAGCGTCGTACCGCTCGTCCAGCGCGGCCACCAGCGACGCCAGCCGGGTCAGGTGCACCTGCATGTCGGTGTTGTGGTACTCGTGTATCCTCCGGTACTGCCGGTACGCGTGGTGACGGCAGCTGCCGTTCCGGAAGAACATCTTGTTGTTGTCCGAGTCCACGTCGCTCAGGAACAGCGCCGCGGAGAACTGCTCGTGTTCCACCTCGTCGCCGATCCGCCGCGATATGTTCCGGTACGCCTCGTGCTCGCTCACCAGCAGCCCAAGCGCGTCGTCCACCAGCGCCACGTGTTCCGCGTACGCCGCGTCCGCAGCCAGCTGCTCCAACCGCTTGTACGTGCGCATCATGCGCCCCAGCACCGCTTCGTTGGTCGCTTCCGCGGAGCACGCCACGCACGCCGTCACCACCACCAAACGGACCAGCCGCTGCATACCGCTTCGCCCGGTCCGGTCCGGTATTGCTGCGCGACCTGTGAAATACATCGAGCACGCGACGACGTTTTAATCACGACAACAACGATAATCAATCGTCGTACCGATATCGGCGCCCCGAAAAACCTGTACGCGCTGGTATATCGTGCGTGTCACAATTTAAGAACAAGTGACAGGCTTATTGTTTTAGAAGTCCTAAAAAATACATCTAAGTATACGCGTTCAAAGTCGAAAGTTCCGAAGAGAGTATCTCTTTTTATATCGATGTACGATCGTTTCACGTTGTTTCTCACGTCCGCGAATAGGATTTTTCGACAATCGTCACGAAATCATTGGTGACCTATCCGATAACGTTGTCTAGTAAAACATACGTCGAAAAGCGGACAACGAGAGAAACGTATCGGATAAAACGAATAACCCAAAACACGCAATCACGCGCCGAGTCAATTAACATTTTTACTCTGATGGTATTTCTGTGATCCGGTATGCGTACAATCGGAGGTGGAGGTAGGCAACAGATACGTAATAGTTTTACGTGTTACGTATATTAAATAGTTAATAGGCCGTTGTTGCATTTGCAACTTTTCTTCTGCTGCTTCGGATTTTCGTTAAGTAAGTTATAAACGCGTTGCGCATCAACACGAATTAAAAAATACAACTTTAAGATGCGATTTTTTGACTACTTTAACATCCGTGCCCTAATAATGACTAGTTTTTCTCGTAAGTCTGTCTTATAACACTTATTTGAGTATATTCAACCAGGCCCGTATCCAGACCAAATTTTCAGGAGGGGCAAAGCAAATTTTTGGGGGGGCATTATATATAAATGTATTAAATATTAATGCAATTTTTAATTTATTTACATTGACATCTAATTAAATTAACACAATGAATTACAAAATAAATTAACAATGAAACATATTTTACACACGTGTACTGCTGCAGTCGGCGATAAAATGAAAGAATATTTAGGTGTTCTATAATAAAATGTCAATTGATAGGAAAGTATTGAGCTACGATTACGATAACGTTAGCAATCAATTTGCCAACAGTCGTCGTGACACGTCAGTATCGTCGTCATGGCCCGGAATTTCCGAAATAAATACTACTATACGGCTAAAAAAACTTTTTTGATCTATTCTATTACCGATGAAAATGTTATAAGCAATAAAATACGTAACTACCTAAACATCTTTCTAATATTTTTAGGGGGGGGCAATGACTGGGTATAGGGGGGAAATGCCCCCCTTGCCCCCCCCGTGGCTACGGGCCTGTATTCAACATATCATATATTGAGTATATTTATTCTACGCAGATGTTACTGAATTATAATTACCTATTATGTTTTAGAATTTTACTATTGTACATAAGATAATATTGTAACACAATTTATTAGTAACTTTAAATTTTATATTTTAGAATAACAGTTAATTTTTAAGTAACCATGTATTTTAAAAATATTAAAAACTAAACTCTCTATAGGCATTTAAATATTAAACATAACCAAATCAATTTTTCTCACCTGTGCAAATGATTAATTTTATTAGATAAGTCACGACACAAATCGCTTATGATAAAAAATGTAATTAAACTGTATTAACGCCAATGAAATAAAATAAAGCGATCGATGTCATCACGTGAAATCGTACGATTTACAACTGTGCATTAATCGTATATTCGTGTATTTATTAACAATATGATTGTTTTGTGCGATAACTATACATAGGTCAAATGTCCGTCATATCTATGCGAAAAAATGATAACCGATTAAAGAATAATATTGCACGGCAGTATACGTCATTACAGGAAATTTCTACGGGGAAATCTCATTTTAATGTATAATAAAAAGTGTTAAAAATAAAATTACTTGAAAGCGTACGTAATTTAAAATCCAGAGGGGAACGAAGAATTTTATTGATTTGACCACGTATGAATCGTAGGATTTTTTTTTTTGTGTTACGTAGTTTGTACAATATTTTGACTAGAAGAATAGATTCGATTATTAAAAAGAGGAATGGTTACTGATAAATTTATGTTATACGGAAACAGTTGTTTGAATATATTTATCATATATTGAGTATATTTATGGTACGCAGATGTTACTGAATTATAATTTCCTATTTGTTTTGGAATTATAAATATATGAGATAATATTACATGTTACATGAGATAATATTGTAACACAATTTATTAGTGATTTTAAATATTGTATTTTAATGTTACAATTTATTCTTAAGTTTTCATATATTTCAATGTTGTCTATTCTATGTGTCACTAGGTTTTTTTCTAAATTTCTCAACAGTTTTTCAAGTAACTGATAAAAATCTGAAATTAACCAAAGGTAAAAAAAATAAAAACTGTTTTTATTAAACATTTACGAGATAAAAATAATAATGATAATTCAACAAAATCGAAATTTTTTTTTTGTAAATCAAAAGATTCCAGGGAAAAATTCAAGCCCACAAAAAACCTCTACATACGCCTATGATCAACTATATTAGCTATCTCTATTATAGAATTTCTTCTATAAAATGCCCCGACCATAAAGAGATACTAGATTTCTGCCATTGTCGTATGGTCAAAATCCAATATTATTTTTTAGATAAAAATAATTAATTTTTTGTCGCGTACGTAATAGGAATATTTATTCCGTATTTATAATACAATATTTAGGTTACTATGGGACGATATGAAAGTCCTAACGCGAACAAATCATTGTAAAAATATAGTGGATATTGTAAATGTTTTTAATATTTAATAAAATATACCTTAAAATATATAAATATATGAAATACACTGTATATAATTATGTAAACACTATACATGTTTTGGATTATTGAACCGACCTGCACAATTAGCATAGTTCAATGTTATTTATCGTTTCGAGTGCGATCATTGATACAATTAATTATGAATTTAGGATTCCAATGTATTCGTTTTTTCTATAGTAAACATATCGGCTGCGAACGAGTTGATTCCCGGGTACCTAATTACCAGAACCGACACCGTTGAGTTGATTCTCGGGTCATTAGAGGGTACGTACGAGTTGATTACCTATTGTTGTATGTCAATTATCAATAAATTGCAAGAGTAAAGAGTTCGACCGTCACACACAACTCGCTCTTATGTCCATCGAGACCACGCGCGAATTTACAAAAAAATCACAATTCTCAACTACTTTAAATAGAACTACGAATAGTTGTAAGAGTTTTCATTCTAAGCCTAACAGTTGTCTCTATAGTGGGTACCCAAATATTTTTGTATTTATAAATGAGCTGTTAGAAGTACAATCAGAAACGTATATTAAATGCAGGAGTAATGGAATTAAGGAATCTAAAAAACAACAAGAAAAACAAATTTTTTTAAGAGAAGAGATGTCACGGTATACTGGTAATCTCTTTACCAGATACCAATTTATAAAAACAAAGTGTTACAAATTTTTACTAAATAACTAAATTTTTTTATATTTTTTTACCTAGTTACTACTAAATGTTTTTAATAATATTTTTTTACCTAATTATTACTAAATGTTTTTAATAATAATAAATATAATATAATTCAATAAATAATTAATAAATAAAAATTGAATGATTTTCAAAATATGAAAAAACTAAAAAAAACAACATTTTTGAGTAACTTGTCAGCCAACCTCCTCCTGGTGTTTCTTGGGTTATGCTAATAGGCTAAATATTTTACTAAATATTGAATAAAATATATAATGACCTGGGAATTAACTCGTACGTACCTCTTAATGATCTGGGAATGAACTCGTACGTACCTCTTAATGACTCGGGAATCAACTTACCTATTACGAACATATCGCGGTCCAGTATGGCATAGACCTAACCAAGAGTTATTATCATAGGCGTGTTTACGGTAGGGGCCGGGTGGACCACTGACCCCCCCTGCGGAATTTGCCTCCAACAAAACCGTGTCAGGATAAAAAAAAGTAATGTGATCTGTACTCATTACCTACCGATAGTTACAGTTCAATACAGTACAGTAGTAAAATGTACGTATTTATATTTGAGTTTTAAATGTATTTTTATTATTCATGTCTAAAAATAAATAAAAATATAAGTCTCATAATTTAAAAATTGTTGTGTCCCCTCGGTCACCAAAGTCTGAACACACCAATGTTGATAATTTATTTTGCACTTGGAAATATCAACAGTTACGAAATGAAAATCATAAAAAAAAAAGCTGAGCGTTGGTACTGGATCGCTGTATACGTCGAAGTACAGAGCAATTACCGTATAAAGAATGTAATGCTACGTAGTACATTACAAGTCATCGAAAACATGAAATTTTACATTTCAGGTCACAGGCCAATTTTGTGAAATTTTACCAATAATTTAATTATTATCATATATTATAATTGATCAATTAAAGAAAAACATACTCGGATCCGGAATTGAAATCATGTCTGGTTTTGGGTTTTTTTTATTAATCATGAACGAAATGCTTTTCGATAATGGTTTACTGAGTAAGTGCTGATAGTTATAGACTGATATGTATGTAGTCTGTAGCGTGTAGAAAATTAATACTCAATAAATAAGAATGGCACTGCAAGTATCGATCGATATAGGTACATTCAGCGAGCGTGTATCACATAAAACTCAATACATTTTATGTATTCGACATTTATGTACAAACTCGAATATTCGTAAAAGCAGATTTCGACATGTATATGTTATTCTGGCGATACCAAAAATGTTATCATGACGTCATGAGCGTGTTATGTATTGTATGCGTGTATGCGCGCCGACCGGTGTAGGCCGCGAGTAAATAAATATAACATTAAAATAATATTAAAAATAATATAAAAACAAAAAAATTAAATTAAATTATATAAATATTATAAATTAGCGACCGTGCGACCGTTATGGGCATCGTAACGATCCATATATCTATTATAGCTCCAACTATAAGTTTATAGCTCATTGTGTATTTTTGTATAAAGAAAACACATTAAAAATTCTATAAAAATAATTGATATTTGATGATGGTTGTTTGACGATGTCGATCGAATGTGTATATAAAATTATTCGATTTCGTAGGTAAATGTTGTAAAAAAAAAAAAATTTTAAACTCAAATGTACTTTACTTTCACCGGTCATTAACGTAATTAACCAAGACCGGTGGGGGTAAGTGATAATAAATTTCAAATAATACATTGGTTGTTTTACAATAGGTACTATTTAAAAATTATTGGTGTTTCATTTTCTATTTTAGGCACTCAATCGAATGAAATGTTAGGTTAATCGAAATGAACAAAATATGTCCATATTGTCAATTATTTATCTGTACAGTTTCGGTTACCATGACGTTTTGAATCGTACAATATTTCTGCTGCGTTGCAAACAAACTGTTTAGCGTCAAAACCGATTCTGCATCGATCGAAGCCACACGAATTCAACTGTCCTGCGGATTTACGTAAAGTTATTTTCCTATCTTTAATCTTTTTTATAGCTTCATCTAGGTCAATACGCTCAGTACTGTTAACGCATATTTCGACAGTGATCCGGATTACGCGAATTTCACTATGAACAATTGTTATTAATTTTCTCATTTTTTTTTTTTTTTCAAAAGGTTTTTCCATTCGAAATGAGTGACGATTCGCAACCCAAGAGACGGCAGTTGCATCGTCAACCGGAACGGTACCGCCGTTTTTGGCTGCGGACCAGCGTTCGGCTGTCGGCCGTGGTGCTGGTGGACGAGGGTCGGGTGACGATCACCGCGAACACCGCGACGGCTGTCGACCAACACCGGTTGCGGTCACGTACACCGGTGCTGCGGCAGTCGATCCGGCCGCGGTGCGTAATGCGTCCGACGCCGTACCGCGCCGCCACGGCCGCCGTCGAACGAGCGTCACCGTTGTTCGGGTACCAGGGACCGTTGCCGACCGGTACCGTCCGAGGCGGTGCAAACGGTACGGTTTCCGCTTTCCGTCCATACCGGGTCGAGAACGAGTACGGCGACGTGACGGCGGAATCCTCCGACTCGGACAGCAGCGGAAGCGAGGTGGACGGCGACGAGACGGTGGCGCCGTTGTATCTGAACGGAAGCGGTAGCGATACCGAGGTCGACGACGAGGCGATATGGCACCGTTGGACCTGAGCGCCGGGCACGACCGAGTTCCGTCCGTTCGACGGTGCCCGTCACGAGGACTTCGGATCGCCCGTTTTCTGCCCGTTCGACGTCCGCGGACGGTCGCAGACGGCGACGATGGCACGCGGATATCCACCCGGTAGACGGTTCCGGCAGCTACGTAACCGCCGACGTCCACCAACACCGCGCCTACGACCACTCGCTGGGCTACGCGCCGCACGTCCTCCAGTTGTTGAACTGTTTTTTTTTTTTTTTTTATTAATATTTTATAATATTAATAAAATCATAATAACTATTGTTATTAGAAGTTATATTACTGTGTTTATTTCCTTAAAAAATAGTTCTCTTGAGTATTTTTATGATGGTTGTGATCAAGGTCTTGCTAAGGAACTACCAGAGTTAAAGTTGTTGATAAAAAAAAAAAATATTGGTCGAAGTGGACAGTCTAAACAATGTTAACTCCAGTAACAGCTCAGTCTGTGCATCTCAGTCTGTTCAAGTGAAAGTCTAGTGTTATAATTTAAAAATTTGTTGTACCCCCTCGGCCACCAAAGTCTGAACACGATCATGGTTATCATCGTGTAACAAATACCCATACTCTTTAAAAGTGCATCTTTCGTGGCTGCATTTTATTAAGATCTCATTTTGTAGTAAGATTAATATTACATTTACGTAATGTGTGTGCTGAATAGAACTAAACCAATCACCACAAGACTCTGAGTATCATAGCTACATTATATACATTAAATATCTAATTAATTATTTTTATTAATATTGTTGTAGCAAATAAAAAAGATTTTGAAACTTGTATTGATATTCAAACTGCATATATTTAATTTATAATACAGAATATATCTGTATAATAGGTTGACTTTATTTTAGTTTGAAGTAGAACAAAAATAAAACAATAGGATACTGTGCAATAAACACACACAGAGTGATTGGAAGAATTTACCTAAAAGTATTCGAAAATTGTGATCATATTTGGCAGTTAAATCTATCATATCCCAATGTATTAAGGAAATTGACAGTTGAATAAATAGATCAGTTGGTTGAGAAAATACGAAAATCCTAATTTTTAAATATTTTTAGTGTATATTTCTTGTCTCTTTTAGGTACAAATTTTTACTGCTAGATTTTAATAACAATGAATTAAGATTTATACCATTTGATGAATTATCTAAAATGGCACTCACACAGATTTAGGGTTTAATTCTGGGAGGGTGAGCCATAAACATCAGACACATTTTTTTATTAATATTTTTTGATATATTAATTCAAATGCTTCAAAATCAGTGCCTCATATTAACCACATTAGTACAAAATATTATACGAAATAGTACACAAATCAATAAAATATAATAAATATAAGATAACAATTAACGAGAATTTACAATTAAACGGTATCTATTACACTAATATAATATAATATTATAAACTTTAACAATAAAAACGTATATTATATTAAATTCGTCTGTTTTTTTTTTATTTCCCTCCCCCCCATCTAAATCCGCCACTGACTACACGACATTGAATTTGATAATTCTCAAGTAAGATTCTAAATAATTATAAAAATATACCTACATAATTTGATTTTTAAAATAATAAAAATTAAAATATAATCATTCAATAATAATAATAATATTATTATTATTAATGACTAAAAACTAAAGAAAATATTATGATCTATTTTTTTTTCATCTTAGTTGCTACACCAAATTTTTGTAGACTTATTGTATTTTAAAAACACTTAATTACACAGGTGGGGACTAGGAGGTGGATAATACTAACTTCTGCAACAATAATAAATTATAAACAAATTTCAAGGTTGTGGAATCAAAAAAAATTACATTAAAGCTGGTAAAATTAATAACCTTGTAAATTAATACATCGTATAGTACAAGAAAATATAATATTCAGTTAATGTAACATTTTAGCGGTTTTTTCAGTTGTATTCGAACAACTATCTACCTGTATCGACAACCGAAATGTTGTTTTCTGTATCTTTTGGTTTAATTAGTTTATGTTTGCCATGGATTGAAGCCTTTGAACCGGGTTCATTCAAATACTCTAGATTTTGGTCATGTTTCTCTTTACTTGATGCCAAACTTTTCTTGAATTTGTCGTGATATGATCTTATAAATTGTATTTCTTCGTTGTACAGTTGGTTTAGTTTCATAAAAAATGGTCTCAACCTTGAAGAATGAATATATATATTCAAATAATAATATTCATAGAGAATTTTATAATCTTGATATGCATTATGCCGACAAGTACCATTTGCAAAAAATATTTTGTTGTTTTCCAAATCAATATTATTTAAAAATAAATTAGAAGACCATTGCTCATATTCTAACTCTTCGGTAATTTTTTGAGTAGCATTTTTATATTGATTATATTTAGTTTCGAATGATTCCAATTCTCTTTCTAATAAATGCATGTGGTCGTGATAAGTAGTATCTGCTGAATTTTTTTCTAATTGTTTATAAGTTTTTATAATATTGTGTAAGACAAAGTCACTCGTTGCTTGGACATAAAATATATATGTCATGATGATGATAAAGCGATGCAACTGCATATTATTCCTGAAAAAAATTTAAATTAAACATAATTTAAGTTTGTCGTTAAACGCATCATTTTAAAACGGCTGTGAATTTTTAAGAAAAATCTGAGTAGTGTTTGGATTATGCAAGTAAAATTTTTTAAAAGCATTTTTACTCTTAATATGAAGTTTCAAATTTTGTTATTAGTTACAATTTTTAATCATCTATTAAATACAAAAAAGTTTCAATTTTTTAATTTTAATATGATGTTTAATTTGTTAACAAATTTTGAAATTACATTGATTTTTTATTTCTAATAAAAATAGACAAAATGGTAAATTTATTAAAATATTAATATTATAATCTAAAATACATAAAATAGAAATTAGAATTTATAAAAGTTAATATGAACTTTTAATAATACGTTTTAAAATAATTACAAATTTAAAATACGCTCTGTAAAATGGTTGTATAAATTATAATAAAAGTAACAGAAATTAGCTATTTCACTTGTCACTAAATACACAGATACACAGGTGATCATGATACCCACGTACCTATGTATTTGTAAATACATAATATTAAATAATACTCGGAGTTTTGGGTATTTAAAAATACACGTATATTTAAGAACACATAGATAATTTTATATACTAACTTAAAATATAACAATTACATAATAATTATAAATATATTTTAACTCTTTTAGAAATTATAAACTATCCGCATCGAGGATTTAATTTAAGCTTGTTTTATACTCGTATGTGCTAAATTTTAAATCACCAGGCTTATAAAATATATGAATTATTTAAAATTATATTTTAATAAAACTATTTTTATATTAATAATTACGTAATATTTAATAAATTAACGTAGTTTTACTATTTACAATTTTAATATATTATTTAAAATAATGAGAGTTTTTATTATATTTTAATTTTTATGATCGTGAGATTTATTAAGCTAAAAGTAAATAATATACTTTTGGAAATCAATTTAAATTAAAAAAAAATGGTTTAAAAATATTAGCGTTATAAGATCAATGTCCTAGTTATAACTGTTGAGACCGGAATCTCTCCCCAAGAATGAAAATTGCATTACATGCAGGAATGTAAGTATACCGTCCTCTCAGTTTAAAAAAAACTATTAGTGTAAAAAAAATATTAAAACTCGTCTACACTTAACAAATTCTAGTATTTTGTGCCTTTCATAAGATTTATTAATTTGTAAACCTATAATTTTGTTTTTAAAATTTAATAACAAGTGCCTCCAGTCATATGAAAATGTGTATGGGTATTTTGATCTTTTACTTTAATATTATGTTTAGTAGGTACCTATATTGTAATATAAATATAATAATAATAATAATAAATTAATAAACAATAATATATTGTTGACGCTTTGATGATAAAATATAATATCTCTACTATGGAAAAATGTTCTTACATATGTTAAAAAAATTAAAGTTAAAGTTAGTAAAATAGAGAAATTCCATATGAGTACAAGGGCATTCAAGAAAAGTTGTTTTGATTTTACGGAAAAAAAATCTTGAACCCCGTGAAGAAATTTGTCTAGAGATCCTCAAAACTGCTGACGAATTGGCTGACGCTGCCATCAATACTGACGAGTGCCATACATATAAAAAATATACTAAAGATTCCGACCTCGTAAAAAGTTTTCGGACATGATTTTATTAATATATGGTTTTTCTCACCTGTGCGTGATCCGGCGTGACGATTGAAATTATTATACATCAACCTCTAAAAACAAGTACTTAGTAAGTATTTAATAACAAAAAAAATTATATTGTCAACGTACGTCACAATTCGAGTTATGCCTGTTCTCTTTAATACAGTCCATTGGTTTATTTATGAAAACACACTGTGCGATCCTATTAAAAAAATAGGATTTTATTGTAAAGTCATTGTCGGGGCAAAGGTTTGATAATATGCCAATCCGCGAGGCAGGGAAATGATAACGAGTTAGTGAAACTTATCGCTGAAATGCTTACGTACGTTGTAATTGGGAAAACCTTACAAGGAAAACCCGTTTTCTTACAAAATAAAAGAATTGTGAAATGGCTGAGATCCAATGATCGGGTGAGATACAGGCTGTTCATATGTTATGAATAATAAATAATGTTAATGTATGACTCATGAGTTTATTTTTAAATTATTAGCGAGGGCTATTTATAATTTCGATTGAATAATAATAAGACTAATTGAAATATTCAAATCGTGTAATCGGAAGTATGGATGTACATGAGAAATTAGTTTTATAATTACATACTCGTAGAATTTGCTGGTGGCAAAATAGTGTATGATAGTTTGGGTACATCGGTTGGTTTAATAATGTTATAATGTGCAGCTTATTTATTTTCTATTAATTCAAATGGAATCAGGGCTGGATTATGGTCATAATATAAGGGGAGAGTCATTAATTTTTGTGAGGTTTTTTCTCCCAAACCAATTTAATTTTTTTCTTCAAATTAAGTAATTTGTAATAAGATATTACTTATTGAATAAGTATAATATATTTAGATATCGTAATATAGTTACAATAAATTAATGAAACAGTAATTTGTATTTATTATCCTACGATTATAAAACACATTGTGGCTCCTTTCAACATGCAGCTCGGGGCTATAGGCCCTCCCCCAGTCCCTTCCCTTGATCTAGCCCTGTATGGCATAGACCAGCGAGGCCAAATTCGCTCCGCGGGCCAAATACGGTCTACGATAATCAATTAACCAGCCCTCCTAAGTATTAAATCAAATAGAAAAATTTGATTTTTGCCATTTAGAATATTGTGTTACTTTTAAAAAATAAGATTCTGGTGTATTTTTAAAACAGTATGTATGTATCAACCTTAACATTAACATTAACATTTAAACAAACTTATACATATATTTGAAATTCGTTTTAAAGACATTCGATAAAATGAAAATCTTATCAATTTATTTGAAAATCCTTTTAACATAGATACAGAAAACATTGAAACTTCTCTAAAATTAAAAATCATTGAAATTTAATCTAATAGCTATTTTAAAACAAAATTTCAACATTATTCAAGCTCTAAAAATTTGGTAGAGTTATATTAAAATCTATTTAATGAAGATTTTCAAAACGTTCGGCAGTTCACAGTCAAGATATCTTGTATAGTCGGTTCAACTTTTGTGAGCAAGTATTTTCAACTACCTATGGAAATTAATAAAGTAAAACTTGATATTTCATAACAAATGAACATTTTCACGACGTTCTTTATGTAAATTTAAGAAAATTAGAACCTAATATCAATGTTCTTTGTGGACAAAAACAATGCCAACAGTCACATTAAAAAAAGGTTTATACTTCATATATTTTCTCATTCTTGATAATAAATATATAGTAAATAATTCAATTTATTTTTGTGCTTAAATTAAAATGAGTCTACAATATGTTAAAATATAATATTGTATTAAATTAAAAAAAAAAGGTTGATATTTTTGGCTCGCCAAGAATTTTTTTGGTCTTCGTTAGCATAGAATATTCAATAAATTTATAAATTAATTTCGTTGTTACAAACAGGTAATAAACATATAGGTAAACATGCGGCTGTTAATTAATAGGTGAGTATTGCATGTGATTATTAATTGAAGTTTGTGAAATAAACGTGATTTAAATTAACGCTTTTATGTTATTGCAATATCATATTATATTCTATACCTTTGTCGTATATTATTCTAATTGCTTACGCCGTGGGAATAACCACAGAGACGTAACGTAATGAAATTACAGAATACAAAATGTTAATTAATTGGAAAGTCATTATAATTCATAAACGAGATGTATTTAAATAATATCTTTATTTTAAAGCCCTCATAAAATACAGGCTTTTACTCAAGTACTGCGATAAAAAAACTACTCAATTATTTGCACTAGATCTTAAGTTATAGTTACTGACCTTCCAATTAATTAATATACTGTATAATTTGTTGGGTTTTTTTTATCATCGTTTAGTATTTACTGTGGTCGAGCCTTTGACCTAATGGTATCAAAACAATAATAGAGTATTATAAATATGTGAGTAAATTATAGTTACATAGCACAGTTATAAATCGTAATTTTTAGTGCAAAAATTGACTATACGTCGTTCGAGTTTGATTTTTTTTCAAAATAAATTTTAATTTATTAATATCTCGTTTTTTATTTTTTTGGATTTTAATGTGATATAGTTTATTAATTATTACAGAGGATTCGCGCAAAAACCATAGAGTTCTATTTTTCACACAGGTAAGAAAAATTAAAAAATACTCAAGTACCTGGATGGCTTTATTTTTTTATCCTTTCATGGTCTCCTTATGAAGGTAGTTTACCCTACCATTACAAGTCCACCATAAGTAGGTTTTTTCTATATTGTCTTCTACCGGTATAATTTTAATTATAATATCTATGTTCTTTTATAAAACTTACTTTATTTTTGTTTACTTTTAATTGCAAATTATATATTTTAATGGGGGAATGAATTTATATCATATTTAAACAAAAAAAAAAATTCATTTACCAGGTTATCCATTAAAATTAACTATTTTGAATAGTTTAGTTAATTGTTTAAATGTCAGTGTTAGTTTTATTTATGTATAATCTATATTGATTAGTACAATCTATTATTTAAAATTTAATTACCTTTTTTTTCATTTGTCAATTTTTATTTATATTTATTCATTAATTTTATATTTAAATTAAAATATAGGATAATTAATTTTGAAATGTCAAAAATTGTAAGCCAAAAGCTTAACTTCCCAAATTCTATTCTAATAATATTTCATATGTGTAACTTATTTAAATAAATCTACCTGGAATAAATTAGTACGCTATCTTTTTAAAAAAATACAAGCAAAATGTAGCAATGCTCCATAAAGGAATCATGCTGATATTAAATTTTAAACATTCTGAAAAAAAATCTTAATGTTACTTTGATAATTGATTTCAAGGTTAATTTGATTGCAGGAACAATGATCCAGCTAAACCGTTTGATCATCGTTGCGATTTATATTTATTATGTCGAAGCGTCCGACTTACTTTCAAAGATTACGAGTTACAGAGAAATGGAACAAAAAACGGCCAACGCTGCGTACAATGATCAGTTACAAATATTGAACAATGAGCACAATACTATGGAGAAGTATTATTTAAAATTCAAAAATATATTCCAAAACATTACCGATGAATTAGAATACGAAGAATGGTCTTCGAATTTGTTTTTGAACAATATTGATTTAAATAATAACAAAATATTTTTCCAAAACGGCAGCTGCCGGCACAATTCGTACCAAGAATATAAAAACGTTCACGAATATTATTTGGACAACGTTTACATTCATCCATCAAGGTTAATACCGATAGTTGCGAAAATTAATGCACTGATCGACGAAGAAGTTCGGTTTTTACGATCGCAGAATGAAAAGTTAAAAATCAGCTTGACAACAAATAAAAACAGTCACGACAAAAACATGGATAGTTTGGATGCAAGTTCAAAGCTGCCGCAGAAGTATCACAGTACCACAGAAGAACCAGAGCCAGACGTAGAACTGACGGATGGTAATGATGAAATTGAAACTACTACACCTTATACGGAGGAAAATACGGAAGAAAATACGGAGGAAAATACGAAGAGAAATGTGGAATAATATGTTTAATTATAAATTTAGTGGGCTATTTATTACTATTTTTATACAATATATCACTGATTATGTACATTGTATTATCCAAAAATAAACCTATTGTTAATATAATTATATTTCTTAAAGTCGTTCAAACATTATGACAGAATATTATATCGTTTATATCTTAGTAAACAAAATAAAATAAATAAAAAGATTTTTCGTTTGCCATATGCAAAAAATGGCTTAAAAATAAATAATAAATACGTATTAAACACTCGTTGAATACCAGGGTGCCATTTTTATATAATCAACATAATAATGTGTTATGCAAAATTGGTTTACTATCTCGCTCACATATACGTGTTTGTACATATATAAAGTATCTCATGGCTTACCAGGCAGATGTCTATAAGTTTTTCAAACATCAGTACTAAGTTTAATACCAAAGCAGTCATAATGTACTTTCAATTTTTTTGTAGTTAAATGTACTGTTTGCAGCTGGATCGTATACAACATGTCAAAGTAAATAATATAATACAGTCAGGGGTGAATTGAAGCCCTAAAGAACCGGGTGAGTATAAGTTTTACAAACTAACAAACAAGAGCGTCATATAAAAATATTCACTTTAAATAACTTTATAAGGAACTTATAATAAAATGAAAAAAAACTGTTTATCATATAACTAAGTTCAACATAATAAAATAAAACAAGTTACTTCAACATTAAACTCAAATATTTTTTAATACAAATACAATAAAACATGTTACTTCTACAATGCTTTTTACTTAACAATTTACTTTAAAATAAAAAAATTCATTTGTAACTAAACATGTCTATTAATAATAACTACTTGTATTATAATTTAAAACTTTTTGACTATATGGACTACGCTAAAAAAAATTACGATTACGAACATCGGTATTTCACGAATGAACTTTTACACTAGCTATATTTATACAAAGACGATTTAACAGTTTTGGAACGTATCGCTCTACATTTTGTACTTGAAACGTTGCGAGTAAATGTAATGAGAATTATAAGGGAAGCGATCTACAGTTAATAAGTGATGAAACAGGGATCTAAATAATCTATCGTTTTCTTCTAGCATTTTTATGAAATAAATTGAGAGGACAGATTTATTCGTTCCTATTGTGAGCATTTAAACACACACACTCGTTACAGTGAGATTATTTTTTTAACACATTTTCTCTGATAAAATATAAATACAAGTATGTAATTAAGTATGTATTTACTAAATAAGTTGTCAAATTTAGGGCTTTCAATTTTCAAATAGTTAATAATGTCTTCTGAATTATTATTTTTCAAAGTTTGGAATAATGGTAAGTTATCAAATTTCATTTTATAAGACAGCCAATTTTTCATCGAGACTGATTTTGGAGATCTGGCTATTAATATGTTTATGTACTAGCATTTATCTGTATGCTTTTGAGTTTTGAATATACAATCAAACACATCAATGCCTTATGATTAAATTATCGGAATTTGGAATAGTAATAAACTTAACAGTAGTAAATAATAAATACAAAGAATTTAGAAAATACTCATACATCCAAAAATTAATCTTATGGTAATATTCATAACCACCGCGGCTGCAGTCAGAAAGTCTAAGGGGTTTTGTGAAAATAACAAATATAGATCGAGACCCAAACAAAATTTTTTGAATGCCTAGGATATTGTCTCCTACTTTCCCTGCCAATCCGCACCCTGAATACAGTGGATTTTACTTAATGTGGACACGTTGGGACCAGTTCTATTAATTCACTTTAAGTGGTTAAAAACTGAAATTAATAAAAAACTAGTCCGAAAATAAAACGATTTTTCAAATGTAATAAGATTTTATTTATGATTTAATAATTTAATATTTACTAAAAATATAATTTCTATGTTCAAATAGTTATAAGTTTGATCGCTTATAAAACAAAAATAAAAATCATATAACACGCAATATAGCCATAAATAGTACAAATTATAATAAAAGATAAGACGTTCAACATTAATCATAGATTATTACAAAAATAAATTTTACAAAAAATGAATATAACATTTATTTACAAAAATCTCATTATATTAGATAAATTACTGAAACTATCAAAATGATTGATAACAATATAAATACTTTAGTTTTTAAGGACTAAAAATAAAAGATTATGATGGGTATTTAATAAAAATAAAACAATTAGCTTATTAGAACAACAAAATAAACATAAATAAGTATGTAGTGAAGACAATATGTTTTCATTTCTATGAACCAAAAGTAACAGGGTCGCGGCGACCCTACTGCGGCAGTAGACATAAACAACTATCTACCTGTTTCAATAACTGTAATGTTATTTTCTGTATTATCTGGTTTGATTAGATGATATCTGCCATCACTTAATGCTTTTGAACTTGGATCCTCAAGATACAGCAGATTTTGGTCATGTTTCTCTTTACTCGATGCCAAACTTTTCTTGAAATTGTCATAGTATGACCTTAAAAACGCTATTTCTGCGTTGTAAAGTTTGTTTAGTTTCCTAAAAAACGGTGTTATTCTCGAAGAATGGAAATATATATTTGAATAATAATATTCATAGAGAATTTTATATTCTTGATATGCATTTTGTCGACAAGTACCGTTTGCGTAAAATATTTTATTATTTTCCAAATCAATATTATTTGAAAACAAATCAAAAGACCATTGTTCATATTCTAACTCATCGTTAATTTTTTGAGATAGGTTTTTATATTGATTGTATTTAGTTTCGAATGATTTTAATTTTTTTTCCAATAAATGCATGTGATCGTAAAAAGTAGTATCTGCCGAATTTTGTTCAAATTTCTTATAGGTGTGCATCATGTCGAGTAAGACAGATTCGGAAGTGGCTTGGACGTAATGTATAAAATATGTCATGAAGATGGTTAAATATAGCTGTTGCATTATCACTCCTGTAATAAATTTAAATTAAACATAGATATAATTAATGTATACCATTTGACGTAACAGATTTTAAAATGTTATCGATTTTCTAAAAAAAATCTGAGTATTGATAATTTTATGCAATCAAACTTTTTTAAATTTGTTATTTATTCTTAATATGAAGTTTCAAAATATTTAAATTATATTAACAGTTAAGATCTTTAGTATCTTGTGTGTAAGTTCTGATTTTTAATACATGTTGACTAACGTAGATTTTAAGAACTAAAAAGTTAAAGTTTTAAGTATAGTGTTACTCCACACGTATAAAATAATTTTACTAAAGAAAATAACTAAGAAAAGTAAATGCTGTAAAAATTAAATTATGTTCATTTGTTTTTTAATTATAAAAATGTACAAACAACGAATATTTAATAACGCTCATATATATTTTAAACGCATTATAGAGGAAACGAGTTCGGATTTAAATCAACTTTCAGAAATTATATCATATTTAATGTTGGAATGGACATAGACTATACCATCCCCCTGTTTAATTGGTAAAACAATAACTAGTTCGAGTCGTTGGAAATGTTTAAATGTGCTAAAAAGAAGGCATTTTAATTGCAAAATTTGTGTCCATCAATTTCCATATATTTTTAATAGTTTAATTAGTGCTATATGTCAGACATTCTACTACGATATCACATTCAATATGAACAAAATCCTTTAAGTGTTAATAAACTATAATAAATAAGTAAAAATCAATATTGTTGATAAGTTAAAGATAAATACGTTTTAATTACGTATTTCATTTAAGTTATTTTAATAATTTTATAACTTATAATTTCCTTATTTGAAAATGATATCTACTAATTTTATACCTATGACCTATTACATCGGTAACATAATTAACAATGAATGTTCTCTAAAGTGATTATAATTTAAAATATAATCTATTGACGGATGAGATATTTATGCAGAAATAATAAATAAAAGTTTCCGACATGATGCTGTCAAAAGTTTTTGATCATAGGTTTATTAAAAAAGAGTTTTTCTCACCTTTGCAAAATCCTGTGAAATGAATACAATGAGTTGATATATTCAGACATAAATGACTAAGCCATCGGCGTAAAGGCCTTCTTCACTCGAGACAATAAGACTTATGAATGATTTCTCTAACCGTCTTCGTGTATTTATCGTAAACACACACTCCGCCATCGTATTAAAAATATCAGTTTTTATTGTTAAGGCTGTGTCAGGTCAATAGTTCGATTGTATATTTTCAATCCAGAGCAAGATAATATGATAATAAGTTTGACTAATTAATTATTTGAATTACGTATATACGAGAAGATCGATGGGGAAAACCATACGGAAAAAAATAATTTACAAACATGATAAAATGTTATACAAAAATAAAATCTTATAATATATAAGTATAAACTTTGGAGTTTGGACTAATTTAATTAATTTAATATGATGTTTATTTGAATAACAATGGTTTTTTCGTGTTTGGTAAATTGAGTTCCATTTTATTAATTTTAGGTAAGCTGAGTCTTGCCTAAAAAAAAAAAAGAGGTAAATTGAGTCCCTCACTTAAAAATGAAATCCGTAAATTGAGTCCTTTGTATAAAAATTAAAGCGATAATTCGAAATATGGTGAAATGCTGTTTTTTTATTTAATATACTTTTAATTATATTAACACAATTGTATACTACGTACATTAAATTTACATTTATCAGTTATCACATATCAAATCCAGCGTTGTTGTAGATAGTTAGGTATTTATATAAATGTTACGTAATAGTACGGAGCGAAATATAATAATATTTAATGATGTAACGATAAGATACACTTACTTACCATACTTGGTGAATTTATAACTATATTAACGATTATATTTATAATTTAAATACATTTAAACACGTTTTTAAAAAAGTTGATTTGTTCATTTATTGTTTGATTTATCACTGTTGAAAAATGGTTAATGAGGGGATTCATTTTGGAATTAAAACCCGAAAGGAATTTGGATAGTAATTATTCAATATTAAAGCTGGGAATTTCATTAGTATTGAAGTTTGTATCTATTAATAGATGCAAAAGATGTGATCGGACGCGTAGGATATGAGACCGAACGGGGAGAATTGGGAAGGGGGATGGTAAGTTTTACCTTGGATTTGAATTCGTGGGTTAAAACGAATTACAATAGTTTTCAGGTCGATTAATTGCTCTTTAAAGGTAAACACGATCAAAGATACGGAGGTCTCTTGTGTGTTTTCAATCTTATAACATATGCAATTTCACGGCATTATGTAAAACTATGTGCTTACACAGTACACAGGCGAAGAAGAATCGAAAAAGAGGCTAAAAATCGGGCAGAGTCATGGGCGTAGTTAAGATTTAAATCGGGGGAGGGCAAAAACATAAGCGATTAGTGTTAATTCGTAATTAGTAATTAGTGTAACTCGTAATTCAAATAATCTACAGTTAGACCATTGAATAATACATAAAACGTCAAAACAATTACACGTGTAGATAACACTCGGTCCCACTAAACTATTTTTAGACATATCTTATTTAATTTTTGATTTTAATGTAAAACTTACACGTTTGGTATAAACAAATATAATTCAGTTTGAGGGGCAGGGGTGGGCAAGTGCCTTCCCTGCCCATCCCTCGCTACGCCCATGGGGAGAGTACAACGCGTAAATGGTTGTTACAAATCAAAACTAGCTTCGTTTCAGTAGAAATGGACGTGAGATACTGCCAAAATAGCATGTTTTTTAATTCATTAGCAGTGCCGCAACTTGGTATATATTGGTAAGTGTGTAAGAAAATATAATGGGGCCCAAGTACCAAGAGACCTTTATAAAAGACTTTTAAAAAAAGGTTAGTTACGAAAACTTGGTTCACGTAACGACGGGAAAAAGAAAAAAAACGTTATTCGTTTAACGTGACTCTAAATAGAACGTTCCCTGAATGCTGTACTGTATCGGTGTTCAATTATTATTTCGTTGTGCACTTCTTGAAGTTTTCGCAATTTTTTAGCGTTAAAATGCATACTGCAAATTATTAAACTGTACCGTTTGGAGGCGTCATCGTCCTGAGTTTATAAATGTATGTGACACGTGGCCACACTGTTGTGCTCGATTGTATCCACATGGACTTGAATCAGTCCTCATTAATCGTGATAACGTGATCCGGTCCCTTGATAACCGCGCGCATATTATTTTTATTTAGTTTTTACGATCCGTCATGGTACTAGTTTGTTTTTAAACTCGTTTTACGATATTATATTTTTCTACCCGACACCATCATCATCAGCATGATGCTGACGACGTGTCGCCGGTGGCCCGGGCGTTTACCCAGGACTTGCGGCGCGGTGTACAACTTACACTCGGCGCGATGCAGGCACTCGTCGACCGAGGCCGGAAATGGTTCGGATTTTAAAGACCGGTCTGACGTGGAACGACTGCTGAATGACGCGACCGTGCCAGAGGAGTCAACTGTCATAGGGGACATCGAGAACTGGACCACTTCGCCGTATCCAAAAGGTTGGTGAACGCATTGGCTTTCGCCTAGGTAGTTGAGGTGAGGTTTTTTATGTGTTTTTGTTTCCGTCTTCCATGCGTTCTGTCACCTGCAGGTGCGTACGTGCCACACAAGAATCAATCTCAGATGCAGCACGCACTGCGACCCAAAGTTGATCCAAAGGAGACATCAATACTCATGTTTCCCGGTCAGGGTACCCAGTACGTAGGAATGGGCAAAAATCTACTGGTGTTCCCACAGGTCGTGGACATGTTCAATGCGGCCAGCGCAGTGCTCAAGTACGATCTTCTGAAACTTTGTTTGGAAGGACCAAAATCCAAACTTGACTTCACCATCTACAGTCAACCAGCCATTTTTGTATGTTCTTTGGGCGCTGTTGAAAAACTGAAAGAAGAACAACCCAGCGCTATTGAAAACTGTATGGCCGCTGCTGGTTACAGCATTGGGGAATTTGCAGCTCTCACATTTGCTGGTTGTTTTTCATTTGAACATGGTAATCAATAACTATTCATAATTATTTTTCACTACTGATTTTTATTTTTAACTCTGTACTTTTCAGCTGTGAAATTAGTGAAAGTGCGAGCTGAAGCAATGCATTATGCATCAGAAATTGAACCAGGTGGAATGGCTAACATTTACTTAAGGCCTGATTCTAAATTAAATTATGCGCTAAAAATGGCCAGAGACTGGTGTCTAGATAAAGGAATCGAAAAACCTGTGTGTGCCATATCAAATTATTTAAACCCAGATTGTAAAGTAGTAGCTGGACATTTAGAAGTATGTAGTACTTAAGTAATAAACTTTTCCAATATTATCATCATTATTTTTTTAGGCTTTAAAATACTTAGAATTAAATCTGAAACAGTACAATCTAAGAAAGATGCAAAGGTTAAATGTTTCTGGTGCATTTCACACTGATCTTATGCGGCCTGCTGTTGAACCGTTTGCAGCAGCACTTAAAAAAGTTCAAATCAATGAACCTATAATAGCCGTTCATTCAAATATTGATGGAAAACGTTATCATAATAGTTATAAAGTGTTTCATAATTTGCCCAAGCAAATATACAGACCTGTTAAGTGGGAACAAACATTACACATATTGTATGAACGTCCTGTCGGTTCAAATTTCCCTGATACTTTTGAGTGTGGACCAGGCTCAACCCTAAAGTCTTTGTTAAAAACTGTTAATTCTAAAGCACATAATTCATGTTACACTGTTAACATTTAATAATATATAAATAAAATTTATATTAAGTAAAATAAAGTTTATTTTAATAATAATTATTGTACATACACTATATTTGTATATACGATTGTATTTTTTGTTTTGGTAGATCATTTATGACATCGATGCTTGTTCTTAAGACCCGTATCGCATCATACTAGGTTGTCTTTATTACTGTTGCCCAGTGTTTTTTAAACTTCTTAGGAACACCAAACAATAATATTTTTGTATGCAGAACCTCTGGATTAGAGTTCCCCTATTTTCCTGTACAAAAATCGTAAGGCACTGACAATGGTCGTGTTGAAACTAAACTGTAATTTTATCCATTATAATTGGGTAGCAGGTACTAATTTTAACAAAGGTAGTTATTCGACCTTTATAATATTGTATATGTAAAAAACACTATTGAGTATGTATTATTATTAATTGTACATTGCATACTGTAATTGACTACTATCTAAAATTTAAATAAAAAATTGTCTAACATGATCATTTCCCCCTAGCTCTTTAGTAAGATATTTTCAAATTAATTTTTTTGATTATTTTGAGAAAAAAAACACTTGAGTTTCGCGGAACCCTTAAGTTATCTCTGGGACCCCCGGGGGTTCCGCGGAATACAGCTTAAGAAACATTGCTGTATATATAATACGCCTGTTTTGCGTGTTAGGAAAATACGGAAAATCACATTTGTCGATATCAATAACGATTCGTTTAAAGAATTACAGCTATTTTATATTTATAGCATGGTTCGCATGGGTCTGATTGGCACAATCATAAAGATTTCCATCGCGAAGCCGCTGTACTGCAGTGCATAAGTGCACATAGCTCCAAACACGGGAGTAGTGAGTACTCATATTCCAGTGGCGAATTCTCCACGCATGCTTAGGAATAAAAACGTTATTATTAATCAATATACAAAAATTATTTTGTAATCAATAATATATTACGTATTTTAAAGGAACATAATGCATTACAATAATGTAATTTAATTCTGTTATACTTCGTAACATTTAATGACAGAGCATGCAATAGATGTGTGCGCAAGCTATAGGACGCTTGTTACCGCTGTAAAATACCAGTTATTCCATGACCACCTCTACTAGCAGCTGCGGTATTTATTACTCAGGGCATGCTCATTCTGTTGCGCTTTGTCAATGTCCTAATTTATAAAATTTAAGTGCACGAGTATATGACAATTTTTCTTCGTTTTGTTTTACTGTGCTATTTTTTAATATTGTTTAGTTAGATAAATATTATTTAAGTGCTATTGTATATATATATATATTAAATTAAAGTCATATTAATAAATTAATGCAAATTTGTTTATTATTTATTAATTATAAATTACATATAACTATAAAACATTATGATAAATGAGCATGCCCATACATCGGAGTCAGTATTAGCCACTGATTACTGCGTATGGACGAAGAAAAAATGTTAAAAATTGGAATTTTTCGAAAATAAGTGTAAATTCAAGTCCTTTTAAAGATAAAAAAAACCCAGATTAAATAAATGTGATGCGTTGGAAATATTTCGTGTTAACTTTATCGTAGTCACTCTGTATATGTTTTTTATGGTTAAATAAGTGGTGGGTAGTAAGAAATTATTTTTGCCTCCTTCCCCCAATTTCATTTTAGTTAGGCGACACTGAATGTCATTATATGAACTTTCTGTACCAGATATAATTAAACCAGTAATTTTAGGTATAAACTATTAACATACCCATTAGGTACATTGCAAGTGATTGAGTACATTTAATTGTTTGATCAAAAACAAGATTCAAAGTCAAGGTGGTCCTAATAAAAAAATATACAAGTAATCATTCATTAAAGTATGTTTACATTAAAGATTGAATTAATAGTTGATATGTTTATTTTACATTATTATTTATAAAATTAATAATTATAATTTGGGAATTCACATAAAAAATTATAATATAATATATACCTAGTCGTGCCATAAGTTCTGTCCCTCATACAAATGTGTATATTTTATAAATAAAATAAAACAAATATAAAAATCTTATGTTATTTATTTTTTATCAACTTAGTAACTAAAAAAAACTAAATACTATTCAAAATGTCCAACATTTGCATTAATACATTTCTTCAAACGATCTGACCACTCGTCTATCACAGCACGCACCACTTCCAACGATATTGAGGCAGCTGATTTCATCAAATCGGCTTTTAAGGACTCGATATATCTATGGGGCTTAGAACAGGCTTTCTCTTCTAAAACACTCCACAGTCTATAATCCAAAGGATTGATGTCTGGACTTCCTGAGGGCCAATCTTGAGCGGCAATAAATCCAAGTAAATTGACTTCCAACCAGCGTTGTGTCGTTTTTGCTTAAGTGCAGTTGCTGAATCCTGCTGAAAAGTCCAGTTCTTTCCAACAAACTAGGTATCACCTAAAGGCCTAACCTAACCTTTTCCAAAATATCACTTTGGTAGTTAAATGCGCGTGTTTTGACTCCCTGCTCACAGAAATGCAGTTGAGTAACGCCTTCATATGACACTCCCCACCAAACCATCACTGAGGCTGGATGATGTCCTCTTTCTACCCTATACATTTTTTCAGCAGCTTCCCGAGAGCTGTGAGCATAAACTCTATCATTTTGACGGTTAAATTTTTCTTCTATGGTAAAAATATTTTCATCTGTAAACAGTATCTGTCTGTGACCATTTTTCGCGTACTGTTGAAGTAACTTCTTCGCTCTTATCGCTCTAATTTTACGTAAAGCGTCTGTTAACCGCTGGCCGGTGCTTCTTCGATAAGCTCCAAGGCTTAGGTCTTCTTTAATTATGCGTGACATAGTTCTTGGTGGAATTTTCATTTCTCTAACCATGATTTTCTGTTTATGGAGTGGATTTCTGCGAATCCTCTGTGCGATAGCTTTGACTGCTGCAGTTGTTCTAGTTTCACGTGGACGTCCACTTCTTGGCTTGTCATCTATAGTGTTCAACTCGTTAAATCGTTTAATGGTCCGATAAACAAATTTTTTCGTTATTTTTAACGGTTTTAATAAGTTAAAAATCTCTATTGGTGTTTTATTACACTTAAATAACGCAACGACAGCAATACGATTTTCTTTAATACCCCATTCCATGTTTAATACTTGACGTGAACTATCGTACTATCCAGAAATAGTAGATATGACACTTATTGAAAATTATACTCATAAATAAAGTCATTAGTGCTATCGTAAAATATTTATAGAATAACTGATAAGTAGGGACAGAACTTATGACACGACTAGGTATATTTATATTAATATAAAAAATAATATATTGGATAAGATTTTTCTATAACTAGGCACAGTATGTTTAATACGATAATAATAAAATCAAAAATATTAAAAGATCGTTAGACAATAAAATCAATCATAAATAGCCAACAGTTGTAATTATAGTTTTATTTATTAAAGGTTTCAATCAAAATATAATTAAGACATTAAATTTAAAGTTCAATAAATTAGAAATCGGATCACAAATCTTTTTTTCTTCCGTTTTTCTCATTCTCTTCAGACATGTCTTCTACCGATGAACTATATACGAGTACTTCTAAAGTTTTAGATTCTACTACCGTTGTTTTATTTTTTTTCTTTGTAATAATGAAATCTATCCTCTAAAATTAAAAAATTAATACAATATTACCAAAAATAATAATATAAATATTATACATAATTAATATTAATAAAATTATGTATACAAACCTTGATCAATGACTAAATCATTAGCATCATTATGTCCAAACACAATTCTTGGTCTTTTTTTGACTTTTATTTTCCCTGGAAAATTATTTAATTCAACAGTTCTTCGTAATTGTATTACTTCCAAATCCTTTTTCATCTCATTCATTATGTTTTTAGAATTTGCAAAGTATATTGAAATTTTATTTGATTTTTTTGTCAGTTGCATAATTTTTGGTTTTATTTCAGGTTCATTCATTTTATTTTTCATTTCTTTATTTTCAGTCTGAATTGCTACTTGAACTGAATTAGTTTTCCTTAAAATTTTTTTGCTTGATGGTTCAACCAACTTTTTGAACTCAAATTTTCTTTTTCTTGCTTTTAAATAGGATCTATTGAACTAGATTCTATTTGCTTATCCACAGGTTTAATTTTTTCCTTTTTCTTCAAATATTCATCATCTAAGATATTATTATCTTTACGGCGACCATTAGGAGATACAGGTCTTGATCTAATTACTTTTTTTAATGGACTAGGTGATCTTCTTTTAACAGCAGTTCTAATTTTAGGTGATCTCGACTTAGATTTAATCATAAGAGGAGACCTACTTCTACGACTTAACATTTATATGACAAAATAATTACATTCTTTATTTAAATATAATCAGTACCAAATATTATAATATGTATAATATTATATTATAATTACTACTTATATTGTAATCAAATTTGCTATAATCGATTCACTTGAATTAATCATGTAAAATAAGATTAACGTACAAATGTGAACAATAAGAATAATGAACAAATAAATATACATAAATGAGAAACCAAATCAATCGAAATATGTTGCTAGGATATTAATCTAGACCGTGAAATGCAAAAATAAAGGAGAATAGATACCTAAGAGAAAATTAAATGTCCAACTAGTTACTAAGTAATTATATATAATAACTAAAAGAGCTTATAAATATAAATGATGTATTTATTTTTTAATTGTATCTATTTTGGTTGTCCGAAACTTCGAAAATTAATAAGCTGTTCGTTGCATATCTAGTAAAATATAACATATAAATTATTATTGCTTCTATTTTTTATCATTATTGAATAATAAACCCTTGTATATGTTATGTTAAGTGTAAAATGTAAACACTTAATTTGTAAACTTATATAAAAATAAAATAAATTTTTTTAATTATTTAAAGTATAGCATGTAATCAATTTTTATAAATGTCTGTGAATATTTTTCATTTAACTGTGAGGTAAGATATATATAAACAAATTAAATAGTTAATTGTGGCCTAATTGATATTTTAATTATTTATTTTTATTTTTTAAAAACTAAGTTTCTTAAATTTTCATCTTATTTTCATCTTTTTTTGTTCTTTAATTATTATTTTGAAATTTTTGGAAATCGGTAGTTTAATACTTTAATATTATAAATGATATACTGATATACACTGTACTTATATTTTATGAGAAATTTGATAGTACCTACTCATTTTTGTGTTTATTTATTTAGTGATTAAGGGTATGTTATTGCAACTATATGCAATTCTCAATTCATATAAAAGTAATTTCATTGGTAACAGAACTCATTGACTAGATACATTTAGATAATGATAGTTACATAAAAAAAAAAACATTCTAAAATGGATTTTAAATAGATATAAAATAAAAGGATGAAAAACAACATTATTATTATGTTTTACCTTATACTTAGGATTTGACCCTGTATTCTTCATCCAAAATAGAACTTCATGTACACTTAAGTTAGTTATGATTACTTCATGAATTTTAATTAATGATAAATGAATTTAAATTTGAACTTCGCCTCCACAACCCCTTTAGAATTCAATTGTATATCAATTATAAACATTATATTCAAATTTTATTTTATTTATTTTTTAATATTGTTTAGTTAGTTAAATATTATTTAAGTAAGTGCTATTGTATATATATATATATATTAAATTAAAGTTTTATTAATTAATTAGTATAAATTTGTATATTATTCATTAATTATGAATTAAATATAACTATAAAACATTATGATAATTGATAAATGAGCATACCCATACATCAGAGTCAGCATTCGTCACTGTCATATTCGTATTTCTCGAACGTTTAAGATTCAATAATCTATTAGTGGACTACTTGTGTCGCTTGTACCTAAGCCGATTGCTTTTTATAAATTTTATTAACGTTTTTCTGATATACAATTTTAAAACATCATTAATGTTTTACTACGCTTTAACACTGATTCTTTCATGTTTAATACGAGTATATCGATTTGTGATTATTCATACAACACGTAAAGTAAATATATGTATATATGAATATATGTGTGTGTGTGTGTATTCCAAACGTGTCGTTTATCTATAAGTTGATCAGTTATTATTAACGTTTTAATTAAAGCATACTACTCGAGAGGACGTAGATAGTGTTTTTTTTTTTTTTTTACTTGTAATTAACTGTACGCATAAAGATATTGATGTGTAGGTATTCGTCTTGAACATAGCGTAAATGCCAACTTTAGTGAAAACACGATAAATCGATAGCTAACTAAATGGATATTAATTATTAATTAACCAATTGGGAGTAGACATAATACGAGTAAGACAAATCCATCTGATTTTCAAGGGAGAAAATTTCGGACCTAATCGTTTAGTATACGGTTGATTAAAAATCTGTGAGTAAGCCAGAATACGAATAAATAAAAGTTTTGGATTCGATTAAATTGCATTACTTAAATAGGTCTTTTCATATGATATAATAAATATTATTAAATGTATTTATTTTATACATGCATAGTTTTTTTTTTTTTTTTATAAAAGTTGAATACTTAACGGTAAATTTAGATTAAGAGAATTTTTAACTTTATTCTTTTTTATTTAAAATAACAAATATAGAATCTATATGTATTACATTTTAATGACCATTTTACATATTTAAGATATATTTAATTTCAATATACGAATAATAAATAAATGTTGTAGTATGGTAGTTAGATTAGGTTAATCCTGTCTGGGCCTTTTAGAGCCAGGCCGACACTGCATTTGTCTCATATTAATATAAATTAGAAAGAATGGGAAAATCGAAACATTTTAGAAACCGAGGCAATGTGTGAAAGCTCGAGTACATTTCACGGTGACATTTATTACTATGTCACTGTTCTCCTAGAAGTCAGATCATATAGGTATAGTGGACAAATAATTATTACAATAATATTCGGTATGCCCTTCTAATATTTAATTCGTAGTGGGTGTGATTTGGGCTGCATACGAACTGAGTCCCAGTACAACCTTTTATGACAAATTGAGTCCCGGGTTGTTTTTGGGGTGTATACTAATTGAGTCCAGTGACATTTTAGGTATAATACTGATTGAGTCCATGTTTTAATACTAACTGAGTCCCGTTAAATTTTTTTAAAAATAAAAACATTTTCCTTTCCATTTTTATAGACTTATAGGACTGTCTGTAACAAAAAATTATACAGGTGTGGTTAAAAATGTTTTTTTTTTTAAATATTTTTTAATATACTCACATATATAATAATGTAGGGGTATAATATAATATGAATAATTTATGTATAATTAAATAAATATAGATAATGATAAAATAACAATTTTTATATTGGTAAAAATCTATGAGAAATGCATTGTACGTATTAAATTCTAGTTATTGTGTTTGATTGCAACAGTATTATCTGACGAAAGTCATAAAAATGATATGAATGATATGTATATATAGGTATATCCGTATGGAGCGGCTGTGCAACATAATTTTAATTATTATTATTATTATTATTATTATTATTTTTATTATTATTCATAATTTTCGCTGTGCCTGGACTCTGGATGGTTATTTCATATTTTACTCAAAATAATCCTCGGACTCAATTCGTATACAATTAGTTTCCTAACCACGGACTCAATTAGTATATGTCTCGTTTGTACCCGGGACTCAATTAGTATATTATTTTTTCCCCGTTCAGGTATAGGGACTCAATTAGTATACAGTGGTGATTTGGGACGGAGACGCCGAATCGCGGCGGTATTTCGATCTTCTCAGCACATTGATCAGGTACAGGAGCGTACCCAGGAATTTTTTATAGGGGGTTTAACATTTTTATTTTATCTGATAATGGAAAATTAAAATACACTACATATATACTATTATTATATTACATATTATATATATTATTATACTATTTATTTACTATTAAATCGTTGAGCATGTAGACATTTCAATAAGGGGGTCTGGACACGAACCCCCCTCACTTGGGTACACCCTTGATCAGGTAGAACAATGATAAGAACGAATAATCAGCATTTTACTGCGTTATTGTCATCGTAATATGTAAACACTAATAACATAGACTTATATTGATTTTTAGTAGTCCAACTTAACTTAACCTAACTACGTATTATAATACTTTAAACGTGAACTTACGTGAAAAGTGATGAATCACAACAAATATATAATATTCGATTGTTTGCACAAGCACTTGACGAAACTGTAGTGGAGTATCGAGTATGCTTGCGATCGATTACCGAACACACAGTGATTTATCAACATTTTTCGAATTTGCAATGGCTTCACGCAATCGACCACAGGTATATTATTTAATTAATATGTGATGCGATTGAGGGGGTGGCCGGTCGTTGCGATGGCGAATTTACATGCAGTCATTATAGCCATCTGCCTTCTGCAGTACATTTCGACAGATGAAAAATGTAAAAAATTACGTTTTCTCAAATTAAAGAAAATTTCTATTAACCCGTAAGAGGATATACATTTTTAATTTTGGAGTAAACTTATAATAATAAATATAATAACAAATAACTAATAATAACAACGTTCGACGTTCCACGAATATTTTGTTGATTGCCGTTTTACAGATCCTTGTCTTGGGATCAAATTCAAACAAACAAATAATATCAGAAACCGATCGTTGCAAAATGAAATTCAAGATCCAGGTTACACATCATACATATTATATGTTAGCGTACTTATTCGAGACATCACAGGTCCGTACAACAAGCGGTTAACATATAAATACGTTCCTGGGCGGTCGTAGACATTTCGAATTCGGGGGTCCCAAGCGCACCGCTCACGCGGGGTACATGCGAGGTTCGACGAAAGTTGTGCGTCACTCAGTACGGGAACTCGTTTTTACATGCGTTCATGGCGTATTATATAATGCTGTAAAAAAAAAAAAAAAACGTTTCAAGACGTTTCGACCATTACTGTTGTTCCGATCACCTCAGAAATCATTTGCGAGTAAAAACACCCATTAACTACCGCGGTAGTGTTTTATTAATTTTTTCGGCGTAAACGTATCGTAATACCGTTCAACGAGTTCGGTGCCTGTACATTACGTCCGCGGCGGTCGGTCGTCATCCTGTCCGTAATCGACAAGAAAATCGTTGTAAATATAATCGTTGTGTTTATATGCGTACAATAAGGTTACCTAACTGCTTATTTTGTACTCATATATAGGCGCACTTGATGTTCAAACACATACTTTAACATCTACGTTAACACATATATTATCGTAACGACATTTTACATTAACCGTCTATTTATAATAGACACTCGACGAAATCGTTTAACCGTGATTAGTGCCATCGTACAATGTTTAGTCGAACAGTACATTATCTGCGTGCAGACGGTGCACACACGTCTATACATATGCGTATATAATACGTTTGTGCAAGTTCTTCCGTGAGCGTAACCCGTTCGACCATCGCGTTTGCAACTATCGCGACGACCTAACCAGTAGTTCACTTGCGCCGCGTTCGATTCCCGGCAAGACCACAGTCTTGGCTTTCATGAATATTTTCGCGTGAGTTACGCCGAGACGAAAAAAAAAAAACCAAAACAATAATGACGTCCATTCATCGCGAAGTAAAACTGCAACGAGAACTGGGCCTGTTCAGCGCGGCCTGTCTAATCGTAAACGTAACTCTAGGTGAGCACAAATCGCCGTGATGCTCGCAGATTATCCAACACCGTTTGCTAAATATCAGCTAATATAAATATACGCTAAAATAACTTTTTTTGTGAAGCGAAATCTAAAATTTTCATCTCAACATCCAAACTTTTCAGGCATCAATTGTGTACGTTACGCTTAATTTAGCTTCGCCAATCCTTTGACCTCTAATCCCCTGGTTTACACCCATCCATTTTCTGAAAAGAAAGCGATCGCTTCACACGATGTATGAGTTCGACGCCATTGATAAATGTACTTGATGTTTCGTTAACCGACTTGCCGCGACTGCTGCAGCGAAATAATGACCAAAAACCCTTTTACACGGACGCTATGGAGTGCATGTGTGGTATAACTGTGTTGTATTTTTCTTTTCGATATCATTGTATCTTGATCCTAAATTATAATGCGCTTTATACGATACTAGATTGACTGCGGACGAATAATATTATGGGATGCAATCGATTATCGTATAAAACGCATTATAATTTAGGATTAAAACTACATTATTTTACATATTTTATGTTATACAATATTTACGTTTAAAATGTATTATCAATGCTATATTAATCGTTAAGTGCGTTGGAAAAATCGGTAACTAAAATACGAATTACCGTATAAAACAATCTACATTAATAGGTTTCACATATTAACCGTAAAACGTGACGTGATAGTAGTGTAAGTCCACCTCGAGAGGACGTAAGACCTAAAAGTGTACCTTGGATTTTTACGGTTTTTGGCTTGAAAAACTATAATGCGTGGGACATAACTATTCGGTGTACATTTATAGTAACGACTCTTTTTTGTTTTAAAGAAAAGAGTATGCAGTAAATGTTTTTTCAAAGTTTTTCAAAAGCGTTTTTATTTTTTCTATAACTTGTTTCAGTAATTATTTAATAATTTTTTAACAAAAATCTTAAAACTGTACAAATGTTAACACATATAACTTTGAATGAATTTTTGCTTGTGATAAAATAAAAATGCTACATCCCTAGTTATTTTAAACGTTTCAAGAGAAAATTTGGAACTTCTCTACTATGAATTTGCACTGAATGGTTTTGTCACTAGTACGACATACTTTTACGCATAAATTACCGCTGTACCACGTTCTTTTAAATCGAATCTTTCAGAGCCATTTTTTAATCACGTGACTCGACATTTCTGATCTTTGTTCCAATTTCTTAGTCATAAATTTTTATATGTTTTGGTTTATTTATAATAACCGATGACGATTTGCTGGACGCTGGGAACGAATGTTATTCCGTTCGAAAAAATTAATACTACATTTTTATATCAAGTAAATAATATACATATAGTATTATATCGGAAATAATTGTAAATTCCGTAGTTTCAATTAAACATATATGTTTAGCCTATAGGCTTTAATTAAAATACCATGTGGACGTAAGCGGTCGTCGTCAGTTTTACTTGATGTTTTAGCCGTAACAAAATAATATACGTTTACTATTGATGTATTAATTATGTATTTTTCTTGTGCATAGGATCGGGAATTTTCGTATCGGCTGGCAGTGCGTTGCACAATACAGGATCAGTGGGCATGTGCCTCATCGTATGGGCGGCTTGTGGTTTGCTGTCCCTACTGGGTAACGAAACGATAATATTTTAATTTGAATGCAAGGTAAACGGGCGGGAGACGAATGGAGCGAGTCGAGAGAGGGTGGTTATAAAAAAATAAGACTGTGAAATTAAAGATCCGGAATAAGGTCGATCCCGGGGACTTTGGTTCAGGATCGGGTAAAACTGGTGGAAGAGGAGGGAGTGGTGTGTTTTTGTTTTTTCTTATAAAAAGATCCATGTCACAGGAGCCCTGTCTTATGCCGAACTGGGCGCACTGATCAACAAGTCTGGAGGTCAGTTCAGCTACTATCAGGAGGCGTTCGCGGACTTGCACTCGTTCTGGGGCGCGCTGCCTAGTTTCATTTACTCGTTCGTGACGATCATGTACATCCGTCCGGCCATGGTGTCCGTCATCGTGCTCACATTTGCCGAGTACTCGATCCGGCCGTTCAGTTTGTGGATGTCAGTGACGCCGAAAACGGAATACATACTGACCACGGTGGTCAGTGTTCTAGCGCTGTGTAGGGATATTAATTCAATCATAATAATCCGTTTTTCGTTTCTCTATGTTTTTTTCACTCCCGACCCCGCTAATATTATCGCGAGCACAACTCTATTACGATTCGATTTCGTGTGTTAAAGGTATCTTGACTTTCATCAACTACACCAGCATGAAATGTTTCGTCAAAATCCAAAACGTGTTCACCGTGTGCAAAGTCACCGTCTGTTTCGTCATAATCGTCGGTGGACTGTACCAGCTCTATCTGGGTAAGTTTATTACGATGTACAATCATTGGACCTACACGGCCGTCGGACGTACATGCGGTTTTTGTGCGCATATTGTTTTACTGCGATAGATAAACTATACACAGCGTCCGCGAATTAGTGTAAATGCTGTAGCCTGTACACATGTGTTAAGATACAATGAGCTGCAGGTGTATTAGATAACATGTGCATTCATATATTAGATTATAAATGTGTTATGCGCCTAAAGACGGATGATTAATAATTAACGCGACACGTTTATTTTATGTAAAATACATTTGAATTATTAAACGAAGCGTTTTAAAATAAACGTAGTATGAATCAATAAGTTAAAAAGATAATAAAGTAAATCAGATTTTTCCAATACGATTTCGATAAAAAAGTGGTGTTTACAGTAACTACGCGTTATCAAAATAATGACTGCAGTTACACGTTATGTAACTTTTTATGACGGCAATAATTATTATTCGTAAATGTTTATACTTCATATGTATATATATTTATTGATCTAACTCAATGATAACATAATGTTCCATAATTATGTGTTAAAAGGAATGATTGATGGTTAATTTTTTTTTTAATGGTCCGCCAGCAAATGTTGATTGAAAGCGGGTTTTTCGTAATAAAACTCCTTAAACGTTCCCAAACATTTTGAGATATGAAAATATATATAATTGTATATATATAAAAATATAATTGTATTTTCAATCATGGAAATTCGGGATAAAATTATAATGCCGTATTCGATCGTCGCGGTTATAATAATAATATTAAAACGCATACGAAACCGGGCTCTATACGCGACGTATCGCACAACACTAAATAATCAATGACATATTTAACATATTATAGGAAAAACTGAGAACTTGATGACCGGATTCGAAGGCACTAATCTATCAATGAACAGTTTGTCGATGGCTTTTTACAGCGGACTCTTCGCATACGACGGGTGGTAAGTGGCTTTCGATGGGATACGTGTTTATTTTTACGTCGACGTTACTTTTTGATATAATACTCTAATAGTTTAGTATGATGTTTTATACTTTCCGCCGTCGTTCGACGATAATATTCGCGTTGTAACGATGCAAACGTGGGCGTACTGTTTCAGGGCGGCTTCGACCATGGTGTCCGAGGAAATAAAAAATCCACAAATGTACGTATGCAGCATCTCTGCCATGTCATAATCATCTATTAGTATCGGGTTCTCGTGTCTTAATAACGATAACAATACACCGTTGTGTTACAGAAACATTCTGCTGAGCATCCTCCTAGCGGTGCCTTTCGTCACCGTCATCTACGTAATGATGAACGTATCGTACCTGACCGTGCTGTCGGTCCCGGAAATGATTGCCGTTCCGGCCGTGGCGATTGTGAGTGTACACCGCGAGAGGGTTCGGAAAACCGCGTTTTCCCCGTATTTATGTACATATCAATATAAAAATATAATATATATATATATCCATATATATTTTATATATTTTTTTTTATATTTATTTATATATTTTTCAATATATACGTATTAAGCTACCTGTAGTGATCGCCGTGCAGGACACTTTGAACGCTGTTACGATTATTATTTAAAACGACGCAGTACGTAGTCGTCAGTCTTGTTGTTTAGAAAGATAGGCATAAAACAATTATCACTTTGACTCTTATTAAATAAAGTAAAACAATTTATTAGTTTTAATCACAAAAAAAAAAAAATCATAAAGCACTTACTGCCGTAAGCTTGTTATGCCGTTGACTAGTGCTATCTTCTAAAAAATGGTAAACGGTCTACCCGTATTTATGCGGGTTCTGGCAATGACGTATTGTGGCATGATATCCTATATTCTAATAATTAGTAAAATTATTTTACTCTCCAATATTGCTAGATTCGCATATTGTGTTAATAGGTTGAACAACTTGTCGTTTTCACCTTTGATCTACATTTCTTGTTATTTAGGCTTTACGAAAATTGCATATCAATACCTACATTACCTGTTATAAATTATATTATGTGTATAATTTATTATTCCATATTGTATTGCTAATACGTTATAAGTAAATAATTATACTACTCTTTTGAATTCACTACATACCGTAATCGTGTACTGTCTGTTGTGGTTGCTAATAATTGTTTAACCTCTAGGAATTCGCGACTCGAGCACTCGGAAGCTTCACTTTCGTCATTCCACTCGGCGTGGCCATAGCGACGTTCGGTTGTGCGCTGAGCACCCAATTCGAGACGTCCAGGTAGGTTACCTGGAGTTTTTTATATTTTTATTCTGAACATCACGAAACGCTACTGACGTGTTTCCATTGTTGTTGATTAGGCTGTGCTACGCTGCGAGCAGAGAAGGTCAAATGTTGGAAGTATTTTCTTACGTGAGCGTCGAACGGTTAACACCTGCACCCGCGGTCGTCTTACAGGTTAGTGTCTATGAATATAATCTTGTATTATTGTTCGATTTATTGTGTGTTCAATTACAATATTTTGGGTTAATATTATTATCATTAAAAAAAAAAAAAAAAAAAAAAAAAAACGACAAAATAGTAAGAACTATTTAACAAAATATTTAAAACCGCTGAAAGTCAGGTAGCTAACTTGGGAATCTTTTTTATTTTTTTTATTTTAATAAGAAAAATACAATCTATACAAAGAGCATAATAAATATATGTGATGTAAGTAATAATATAAAACAGGTTAATGCGGGAATAAACAATCACCCATGAATGACCCTTAACTTGACCATAGATTAAAAATATTTTTATCTACGACTTGATTGAGAATGAGGATTGAAATTAGAACAGTAAGAAGAAAAAACACATGCATAGGCTTTTAGAGCAGAAGGTTAGTCTACACCATTTCCTTCTTAGTCAACGTTGAGGATTTTTGTGTAGTGTCGGGGTATTTAAATTTCGGATGAGTGGGTTTTCATGATCAACTAGGTGTGAAAATAATCATTTGTAAAAAACTACCGATTTTTCTCCGACTGTTTTTATAAGTATGTCATTGTGTAATAATAATATTAATATTTTCCTCTTATCCCTCGCGCGCAGGGCCTGTTCACACTGATCTGTTTGCTGTGCGGAAACGTCGAGACTCTCATAGACTTCACCAGCTTTTTGATTTGGATATTCTACGGCATCACTATGGTGGCATTGTTAGTGTTGCGTCACACTAAGAAAGACGTTAAACGCACATTCAAAGTGAGCGCTTTGCGAAATCACTGTATTAAAATATTATATTGGTGTTGTTAACCGAATCGATTCCGTCGAACCGTTTTCTATTATTTTGTTGACGTTAGACTTGATTAAAGACTAAGTGAAGGGGCCGGTAAATGTGCCATTAGTCACAACACCCCCGGGAAAATTTACCTTTTTCCACCGGTGAGCACTCATTTTCAATAACCAGAAATATCAAACTGGCATGAAAACAAAAAATATAATCTGTTCGTCTACATTAATTTTCGATTTTCCGTAAAATGATCCGTCACACGTTTTTTTACTCGTTCGCATCTAAATTTTGAATATCAGTCGCAATGAAAAATTTTCTTTATAACGGTTCTGTACGACAACGTATGTAGGTTGTTTTATGTTATTCACAAACAATTATTATAGAAATTCATATTTTCTTTTCATCAATAATATTTAAACGGGTAAACAAAAATCGATAGCAGATAAATAAAAATTTTGTTAATTTAAAAAAAAAATAATAATAAAAATCCAGGCGAAAAAGAGTGTTCATTTCATTCGGTCCGAACATAACTGATACTTATAATTTACTTTCGCGAGGCACTCGTGTTACTCTGATCTCACTACCGTTGATCCTTAAGATGAATGGAGCAGGATTTTCAGCTGTAAAACGCGTGTTTTCCGGTCAGAAATAATTGGACCATCATACTATATGTGCCCCGTTTAAACAGGTACCGATCGTTATTCCAATATTCGTGCTCATCGTGTCCGTAGTGCTGTTCCTGACGCCGATAATCCAAGATCCTAAACCGCAGTTTCTCATAGCGTTGGCGTTGATCGTGTCGGCGTTCGTATTGTACGTCCCGTTCGTGTACCAAAAGAAGAGGTTGTCCGTAGTCGGTACGTATATTAACAATAACTGATCAAATTAATACGTTATAACTTCATACTTACCGAAAAACGTAGTTGAATATTATGCAACTGATCCGGTCATTATTCAAAAAGTACTAAAGTTGAAAAGAATATAATCTAAATATAATAATAATATTCAATTCTTGATTTGACCGGTTAAATCGTCTGCTGATCAGTTCCAAAACTAAGTCATTGAATTTCGGATTAATTCGTATCCAAAATTCCAAAATATTATGTAAGTTAGTCGGACTTGCACCTTTTGATTATTATGTACATTCGCTACCCAGGACGTATATATATCGGTTACAATGCAATAAGTATATCTTCGGAATAAACGATCATTGTTTTTAAACGTAAATCTAACCAATACCTTATTGGTAATTAGTTACATATAAACTTATAATACGTTTTTCCCATACACGTGTATTTATCTAGCGCCATTTCCGATCAAACCTATACGTCCTTGAATATCGAACTACAGCTAACACGGTTTCGTAAAAATCTAAACAGTACCTATATTAATTGTTTCGGATTTTAAGAAATCTGAAGCTTACGTCCCAAGTTAAACCGGCAAACGAAAAACGAAAATACCGTTTAAACAATTATTTATCGACCGCCAAACGGTTTGGAACAACTACAATTGTGATTTATAAATATCTCTAACCACGACGTTCAAATCTAATGCCGAAGAATTCGTAAACCTAGAAAATAATAAATACATTAAAACCAATCGCATCCAAATTTATTCGAAACAACGATGACCGGTTCAATGTATCATAATACTCTACAGCGAACTAGTGTGGGACGAATATTTGTCAGTCAGTTCACCCGTTGTTCACATATTATTGTACTTGGTCCGCAGACACATTCACCGGATTCATCATAAGACTGATGGATGTCTTGCCGCCGGAGGAAGACAAACCGGCCAAAGATACGTGCGAAAAACAGCGTTATTAGTCTTCCGAATCACTTACTCTTACACTGCGACCCTTTCGACTTATCGCTGTCTGTGATTTTTCGTCGCCTAAATTTGCAACCGTTTCAACGAGTGCATAATAGCTTTGTGTTGCGGTCGGTTTAAAACTGATCGCACTCGACATGGGACAATCTCCATAGACGCAATCACAGAGTGGAGAGTGGGTTAGTACCAAAGGACTCCAAAACCGTGACCCTTGATTCTTGCACGTTTTTACCTTTGAAATGATATTCATTGGCTCAGTCATAATGCTAAATCGATAAAAACATATTTTACGCTCAATTTGAAGAGCAGTAAGTATTAAAAAAGTATAAATACATTTAAAACGTTCCAAGCGGTTTCATCGAGTTTAAATATACTTTTGATTACCTCACAAATTGTCCCAAATGTTGAGATCTTCGAAATTGTAAGTTCAATCGCCCAACCTCCACCCCACCATCCTCCGATGGGTTGCTCATCACTTTATTTGCATAACATTTTATTTGTTAAGGTATACGTACTATATCTGTAATAATTGTATATATTTTAATAAATTATGAATATATTGTACTAAGCCGCAATTTGTTGTTGTTCTTCTTCTCCTTCGCCTTTTTCCTAATTATTTGGAGTCGTTTACCCTTGTCCTAAACTTCTACTCGTCCCGATTTTATGTATCTCCAACGCATACACCAAGAGCCCTCATATCATTCTCAATGGTATCCAACAATCTCATTTTTGGTCTTCCTCTTCCTCTTTTCCCTTCAACATTAATTTTCAAAACCATTTGTTTCCTCTCGTTTCATCACATGCTCAAATCATCTCATGGAGATCATGAGATTCATCATAAATTCAAGATAAGGGGGTGCCACTTAAATTATACGTCCGATAAATAGGAGAGACATATATTGTGAATATCATGGTATTACACTTAGTAGTACTGAGGGACAGGCCAACTAACGTTAGCCTTTCTATAAGAATATTTAAGTCTTCTTTCAATTTACGTATTACAACCACAGGAAAAATTGATATTCAGAAATATTTTTATATCGTATTTTATATCGTATTTTTATATCATACGAACCTTAAAATACCTAAACACACAAATATTTATGAACAAAAAAAATAATACTGATGATAGGTGACCACCCTTTAGCACTCCAGTTGGGGTAGGCAACGAAGAGTATTTAATTCCAACTATTTAAACGCATTTAAATCCATCAGTTAAATAGGAATTGAACCAAGATAAAAACTATTCACTAAAACCACTGTTAACATTAAACCAATATTGTGCCATAGTGTTATTTTTTATTACGTCACTCGGCATACATGAATTTCTACTGGTTGAGATTCACTGCAATCGAAAAGTTATTTACATTGCGCTGCGGTTAGGTTAGTCGTTCGTTCGACACGTGACAACACGTGCTCGTCCTATCTATGAAAATCGTATAGCGGATTTCATTACATTCGGTTGTGATCGAGTAGACGATTTCGAGGCGAATTCAGTCAAGTACATACGCGCTGAGTACAAAGATAAACATATCGAACGCGGCTCTGCATGGCGAGGAATGTGTACAAGTCTTAAATGAAATCGACGACGGGTAAACTGTTGTTGTTGTTTTTGTACGTGCCAGCACTAAAAACGATTTTACTATCAATATTTAAATATTATGATACAGGATAATGAAGCAAACGAGCTTATGTAGCGTTTTGTAATTATATTTAATGCTACCAGAACTTTGGAAGGGCAACGGCGGTCCGAGAGACGTACTGATTTTTTATTCGTTTTTTTTTTTATTGGTGATGGTTTTACGGGTGGGGGAGATCAATGGAGTCTGGAACCCCTCCCAGGTCACACAGTAATCTCTCCTGATTTTTAAAAGTACGAGTAGTAAATTCTCCCGATGGTAAACTCTCCCGGGTTAATACTATGTTTACCTGAAGGAAATGTCTAAACTCTTTGGGGTCAACATTATGTTTACCTGAAGGAAATAAAAATAAATTATATGTAGGTACCTACTTATGGTTTATTATTTGCAACTAACTCACAATATTTTTCTTTTACCTGACAAAATTAATATTTATCTCAAAGGAAAACCTTGAGTATAGAACGACGAGTATAGTAAGACGAGTATAAAATAATAATTTAAATCAATTAAATAATAATCGTAAAAATAATCAGTTTCTAATTTCACTGTATGTAGACACTTAAAGCACACGTACATAAATATCATCAAAAAATATGAAAATTTATATTTATTTTATGAAAATATAAACAATACTAAGTCAATGCATAATGAAGCTTGTATAAAAATTTCAAATCTCATAATCAAATATTATAAATTGTGTGATATAAAAAATGAAAAAGATCCGTTAATTCAAATTTTCAGAGATCAAAAATTATCCAATAATTTACATATTAAATATATTTCAGTGTCTCAATTTTTTTTAATTCGAATACTAAATCATTAGATCAAATTTTAATTATAATTAATACTGTTTTTATAATATAGTATATGATATATTATTAAAATATTACTTATAATACATAAATATATCGAATTATGCATATCAAGATTTCTTTTAAAATCATCAACAAAAATATCTACTTCCATTGCAGTGGATGGAAAGTACCAGTTTCTAAAACACAGGTGTTCTTTAGATTCCTTGTTATTTTATATGCTCATTGAAATATACATTAATACTTATTTCTTACACCAATAAACAATATTTTTCGTGTTTCAGCTTCAACAATACAGCCCTAAATCGTTGCCAATGTCTTCATTGTAAGTGATTCACTTTTATTTTTTGTATTTCTCTACTCAATTGTTGGATGTGCTTCTTTTTTATTTTGCCGCGTACATTTAAGGTATCTAAGATCGATAGTGGATATATTATACACGGGTATAAACGATTTATGCAAACACCAATCAAACTTTGTATTCATGAACCGCTCATTTACACTTGCACTACACTCACTAGCACTGTTGAAAAATTCAATTTTTGAAGTCTTAACTAATTGTATTTATATTATCATTTCCGTTCCATATTGCATTATACTTTTATACTTATGTAGTTCAAACGTTTTGTGCAACAATCAGAGCATTATTCGCTGTTATAATAACCAGTAATTACTGACGGCCAGCTTTTGTGTAGCTGTTACTCGCATAATAAGAACACGGTTTTGCATCAATCGACATGGTATTGTTTAGTTTTTTTTTTTTTTTTTGTAACCCAACGGCACTGATACGCAGATTCCGGCGTAATTCTGTGGCACGCGCACGGTAACAGATCGTTAAGTCTACAAACGAAACTATCGACGGAAAAGAACAGATATGATTTAATCATAGAAGCTGCGGGAAAACGTTGCCTACCCGAGTTCGGGAGTGTTATTCCTTTCAGTTTACGCGACAACACCGTAGCTGCATCGGGTTATCATCAGTGGGAAACATTAGGCACCGGGTGTAATCCGTCTTTTTTTCCGCGATTTATTTTTTTGACAAGACGATTTCACGATTGTTACGTGAGCTCCCCGAGTGTCTAGGAAAACGCAAAGGAAACTCTATACCACGCAAGGTACGTCTCATATAATAATTATAAATTAATAAATAACTATTAACTATTAATAATAACTTATTATTAACTAATTATTAGTTATGCCATCGTTCGATAACAAATTTTCGGGCGTGCAGTGTGTTCCGCTTTTATGACTATTTATTTATTTATCATATCCACTTTTGTCACTAACCGAGAGGTATGCTAAAAAAAAGGTCACGTTTAAATTTCGGTAGCTCATGCTGATTGTATAAATCGAAAAAAAAGCATAAACTTTTTAAAACAATACATACAATCTTTATTTGAGCCGAACGGATAAACACTTTATAGTATAATAAGGACAAAAAACAGAATATAAAATATACGTCTTTTTGAAAAGTTTAAAATATTCTTTTTTCGACGATTTTTGTTCAGATTAAAAATATCGTCGTAATGCATTATCATTAATTATATATCAATATAATCATAGTAATATATAGTTAATGGTATTATATATACAGAGGATTGATCGCCGAGTTGTTCATTTATATTCAATAAAGATTAATATTTGATCTCTTGACTTTGGGATTACAGAGTTTTCAAAAAATTATGCAGCTAAAAAAATGTTAAAAAAGATTTTTTCATTGTCAGTTATAAGAATAGTCAAATATTTGGTATGGAAAATGTTTAAATACTAATAAGTCGTATGATTTATGCGATACACGTGAACATATGGAAATGAAAACGAAAATGACGTCCACGCAAACCAAAGTAAAGTTGCAACGAGAACTCGGCCTCTTTAGCGCAGTGTGTCTCATTATAAACTCAACTTTGGGTGAGTGATTACATTCGTACGTATTGCATTAAAGTGTTTTGAGTCTTTATAGTTCTAACTACTTGCTGTAAAATAGTTACAGACTTCTCGACTACTTCACATTCTGTATCGCAATAAAACTGTTTTTCTTATCGGTTCTTACAGGATCTGGAATTTTCGTTTCGGCCGGCAGCGCGTTAAAAAATACAGGATCAGTGGGTATGTGTCTCGTCATCTGGGTGGCTTGCGGTCTGTTGTCACTGTTAGGTAACATTATATTTATATATATATTGTTAAGGCATCGAACGAAAAAATGTAATGTAATGCGATACACAAAAAAGAAAAAACCATAGCGATAAAGCATGAAATATAAACTATATATATACTATACTAATGCAATAAGGCCCGTATTTAGGGGGGGGGGGGAACGGTTAGGCATATGTCCGGGGGCGACAAAATATTTTATGTACGTTTCTATGTACGTCGATCGACCACCGTAACGTCGTCCGATTTATTTTAAGATTCGTGAAAAGACTGAGTTGACTACAATTATTTACTATAAGGGTTTTCAAGACGCTCTCCAAAGTATTCCTGAAATTTCTCGGGGGAAGTTGTCGGCTCCAATGCGTCTTAACATTACAGATCACGGTATCGACTTGATGCGCACTAGAAGGGTTAGATTTCTACACGTAGTAGTACGCGAAAACGCTTGTAGACAACTCTTGTTTCTAATTTACAGAAGAAAGAATTTTCAGAGAAAGATATATAAATAGATGAATAGATATTTAAAGAGAGAGAAAAGCCAAGAAAGTGCCTTAAAATCTGTTCACCCGATTTTTCTCAACACTCGTTTTCGCAGGAGCGCTGTCGTTTGCCGAGCTGGGTACGATGGTGCACAAGTCGGGCGGACAGTTCAGCTTCTATCAGTTTGCGTTCGCCGACTTGCACAAGTTCTGGGGACCGTTGCCCAGCTTCATATATTCTTGGGTGAACATCATGTACACTCGTCCGGCCGGCGCGGCCATTATTATACTAACGTTCGCCGAGTACTTTATCCGGCCCGTCAGCTTGTGGTCGTCCATGACGCCGGAAACCGAGTCCACGATGAAGATATTAGTGGGCATACTAGCACTATGTAAGCACGTGACCGTGTAGCGAATTGCAATAGCGGACTAGCCACACACCCGCACCAAACAGGAAATGACCAAGTGTTATTTTGAATTTTTACTGCAACGTTAATACCTAAATATTAAGAATAAATGTACACACATAGGTACCAATTCTTTTAGTCCTAATAATTATTAAAATTCACATAATTGAATTGCATATGAGATTTTATGTCTTATGTTTACAATAATTCCTCTTAGACACTTCTAAATTGTTGTCAATTGTTTTCTCCGATACCATTTTTCGCGTATGAATAATAAAAATTATATCGTTTTTTAAGTAGAAAACTATTTATAGGTGCCATTTCGTAAAAACATCGAATACACTTGCCCTCGCGAGCTCCGGAGTATTTTCCTTTTCGACTTTTACCATTTGATTTGTATTCGTTTAAGGTACCATTACGTTTATCAATTACACCAGCACGAAAGGTTTCATAAAAATTCAAAACGTGTTCACCGTGTGCAAGATCACTGCTTGCCTGTTGGTGATCGTTGGTGGACAATATCAACTCTACATGGGTAAATATATCGCGACCATTGGATAAGGAACAATTTCGGATAGAAAAGAGATACATTTCATAAGAGTTGAATAATATTATTGTTATTATTATTATTATCACATTAAAGATATATTTTTTATCGTTTTCCCGAATAGGAAACAACAAGAACATAACGACAGGGTTCGAAGGCACGACGTTAACGATAAGTACTCTACCGATGGCTTTTTACAGTGGACTTTGGGCATTCGACGGGTGGTGAGTCTTCAGCAACGACAATAATTATAATAATAATTATAATAGTGATTGCTCTACTATGTGATGGTCCAACAGTGAAAATATCTGATAATTTCAGGGCGTCTTCGATCATGGTCATCGAAGAGATAAAAAAACCGCAAATGTATGACTGAACTTCTCACATTTTACAACCTTTCATACACCACACTAAGTTCCGCGTTTTAATATAACAAAGTAACTGTCCTATGTTTACAGAAACATACTGATGAGTATTGTTCTGGCGGTGCCATTGATGACTGCCGTTTATGTTTTGATGAACATATCGTATCTGACCGTGCTGTCAGTCCCGGAAATGATTTCCGCTCCTGCCGTGGCAGTCGTAAGTAGAATAACATTTTGATTACACACATACACAGATCATTTTGAAAATCAACTTATAGGTACTACAAGTAGGTGTATCTTGAAATAATACTTTTACCGTTGAATAATTGTATTATTATAAACATTTTAAAGCATCTAATGTTTATTAACTGAACAAATATTTAATATAAAGAATCTTATTTATTCATACTTTCAATATTAATTAATAAACTAATACGGCAGCGTTTCTCAAATTGTGGGTCGCGAGAAGTTTTTTTAATTATACAGATTGTAAGAAACAAGCATATTCATCATATACGCCTAATTATTAATTATTATATTATTATTATTATTATAAAGTAGTAAATAAGTAATGAAATAGAAAAAATTTGTTTTTTGAAATTATTTTTATTGGTTCTGTAAATGTAAAACTATGGGGTCGCGATAGATTTTTGAAAGAAAATTTGGGTTGCGGTCCTAAAAAGATTGAGAACCACTGGATTATAGGATTTAGAGCTATCCCTACCCCAATTAAATACGTCATACTGAATACCGTCGGTTTTTCGTGTCCACGCACGAATAAAACCCGGTTACCATTTTCAACATCATCATCATACTAAACCTCATTTTCAGGAATTCGGGACTCGGGCATTAGGAGACTTCAGTCCAATCATTCCACTCGGCGTGGCCATATCGACGTTCGGCTGTGCGCTGTGTTTGCAGTTCCAGGCTACCAGGTCGGTTATGTTCAACTTCAATTTTATTAAAAATACTTATATTTAGCAAACAAACGAAGTTTACTCGTATCGATTTATCTCATTCGTTAGGATATGTTTCGCCGCAAGCAGAGAAGGTCAAATGTTGGAGGTATTCTCTTACGTGAGCACCAAAAAACTGACGTTAGCTCCAGCAGTCGTCTTACAAGTGAGAATATTATCCTGCGTCTGAACCGCACGTAGTACCCCAAAAATACGTATTACGGTCTTATAAGGGCAGTTTCAACGGCTATCATATTTAAAATATAAAGAAAAGACTCATATTTTAAATTTATAGCTATGTATTACGTGGTTAACATTAATAGTTTGACTTATAAGAAAAATGGTTAACAAACAGAATAATTATTATGTAGAGCAATGGAATGCGGTATTAAAATCGAAGATAACTTAAACGATTTGAAAATAACATAAATCTAAGAATTTAATATCAGTATATGTCCACGTAGGATATGCTGTAATAAACATTATATACAATATAGAGGTACCTTTTTATTTAACTATTTGATATCTCGGTTACTCGCAGCACTCGGTTGGTCGATCGGACTAGTCAGTGTGAAAATGACGACGCATATACTCAGTGACTTATTTTCAAATTTTTTGTGGAGGAGATTTAAAATTTTTCTAAAAAATATGTAATTTTATATAACTATATTTTATTATAACTATTGTATAATTATATTATTCGATTAATATTATAAATATAAATTAAATATTATTTACAAACACATGACATATATATATAAATTATTGTTCTTTTTTCTCTGTGCCTTAATAACAAGTAATTTATGACTTTTGAACTTTTTTTCTTAGGGGGTTGAGACCCCGGAATCCCTCATAGAATAGGCCACTACATTGATATCCTTGATATCCTTTTCTAGGGTCTGCTAACTTTTGTTTGTTTACTGTGCGGCGACATCGTTACGTTAATCGAGTTCACCATATTCATGGAATGGATCTTCTACGGCATGACCATGGTGGCGTTGTTAATGATGCGTCGCACTAAGAGACACGTCAAACGTACATTCAAAGTAATAATGAAAATATACATAGTTGTATACAAGGGTTTAGCTAACAATTATTTAGAGGGGAGGTACGATATATCTAAGTAATAATTATTACGTATTATTTTACCTACTTAAATTAGATATTTTTTTACTATAACTTATTTTTTTATGAACTAGAATTTTGTTAATGGGAGGGGGTTGATACTCCCAAACCCTTCCTCTTGCCTACGCTACTGATTGTATTGGGACCATTGTATTGAACATTACGAAGTAATGACGGTTATATTGGCGTTTAAATCGATCCTTAATTTCTATATAAAATATTCGATCGCCAAAATAGTAGTAATACGAGTACATATGTACTCATATACATGATGTTGTCATACGTTGAAGCGGACAAGTCCGCTAAGTGAATGAGAATAATTTGAATCAAAGTTAACCATGTATAATAACCCATCAAATCGGTGGAATCGATTTTAAATTAGATTATTATTATCTTTATTTTTATTTTTTTTTTATTAATTATTGTTTATTAAATCACCGTATTATACGTAACGTATAATTACATTCATTTTGAATTTCTATTTCCATCGATTCCATTGGATTTCCATAGTACAGAATATATAAAGATTATAAAGTTTGTTTTTAGAAATCATATACATGTATATATGCATATATTATTTATATGTATCAAAAATATTCCTTTGTACATTATTCATGAATAAATTAAAAAAAAATTAAATAAACCGAAGGTTCGAATAAGTAAAATGAATTTAAGTAACGTAGTAAAATGTCGACTGGTTGACTGACACATATAAAGTTTAAAACAACTTGAACAGACAACTCAATTTAAAAACCATATTATTATAATTAAACTCAACGAATCGACTCGAGTTAAAAAATATCAATTACCTGACCACTGACCAATAATTATTTTAAAGATACGCGAAGGAGAGGCACTTGTTCCCAATAGTGACGGTACATATATAATAGTGTATTTTATAATATGAATAAGGTTATTTATATATCATATTGACTACTTTGCTCGTAATATCTAGCAACGAGGCGAACAGTTTGTATTAAATTATTACGACTAGTAATACTCATCTAACAATATTTTCGCACGCAGGTACCGATCGTCATACCGATCTTCGTACTCTTCATGTCCGTCGTATTGTTTCTGACACCGATAATCGCAGAACCCAAACCTCAGTTCCTCATAGCCCTGGCATTCATTCTCTCCGCGTTCTTCATTTATGTTCCGTTCGTGTACCAAAAGAAGAGATTCTCAGCAGTGGGTACGTATAAAACACAGTCTGACCGTGAAAAAAAATTATTCATTGGTTAATATAATTTCGAAAAAACCGTAAATCTGCTAATATAGAAATATGGGAAGGCTCACAAATAGCTCTTCCGAGGGTATCAAGTCCACTCGCTAGTTACGATTACACTCAACATGTATTATAACAGTGTTGCTCAATTATGATTTTTACTCACTATCGTAACTCAAGTGTTTAATACATTAATTCACGGTTTTGGACTTGTAAAGTTGCATATTTATTTTATATTATGAATTTATCAAAAAATCAATCGATTTTTGGGTCTAAAATTTTATTACATAACAAGTTTTTTTAGGCTAAAACGTATACTGTGTTAGTCTACAGTTAACTTCATTCCATATGTTGAACAATTTAAAGTATTCTTATATAAAAATCGTAATTCACCCCAATTATTTATTTTTATTAGTTTACCAAAAATATTACTAGGGATATTTTAATGATATTTCATTTATTTCTATATAAACCATATTTTTAGTTTCAATTATTTATATTCTTATTAATTTCAATAAATACAGACTAATTTTTTACAAACAAAATAATTTGTAAACATTATCAAGACATGTTGAAAAATGTTGTATGGATAGATTATCATCTTTTTTTATATTTTTTACATAAATTATTTTATTAATAATAAATCCAGATTAGATATTTAATGAAGCTCTTCATTTTTTAAATGTAAAAATAATAAAAACACTTGTTTTGGTATTTTATTAAATGTGCTTATTTTTAACGGTTGTAATTGCTACTGATCTTGATCTCTGATTGTTATATATCATTATATAAATTAGCCAACGCACTTGGTCTTTAGATCATTTTACCAAATCCATCCAGACCCTAATGGGAGTGATGCCGCAGGAGAAGGATAACGATCCCGACATAGAGATGTGTGGCGAACAGCAGTGTCGCACATAACAGCTCAAGTTGGTTTCATCATCACTACCCTTACACGCGAGTCACCGAAACATCACCATCAAGATAGATAATATTAGACTCGGGGTGCGAAATAATGCAGTGGCGTCATTTGGACCGCGCATGATATACATTTGCGTATTTAAAATCCATTATTGTAGTAATTTGGCCACTTTATAAATTGATTGGCCTGAATAATTTTAGATAGCAGTTTGCGGTCAATATATTTCATTTTTTAATTAATATATTTTGTTTTTCTTCTTATTCAAAAACAAAAACATGAGACATTACGTTACAAAATTATCAAAATATTCCTTATTGTGATTATTCATAAATCGTTATCATGCAACATGTGTATAATTACGATAATTTTATTTTATTATCTATCAGCTTTTATTAACCATCAGCTGCTAGCCTATTAACATTAATTCATAGTTCATAATGATAATCTATTATTGATAGTTGAAAATATTAAAACATTACCTAAATAATATTTTATGTGTTGATATTTTATCTGTAAATAAGTTTGCAAGCATGAAGATGCGTCGGTATCCTCTTAAATATTAACAAAAAATATAACTATACAACTGTAACTATACCTAATAAACGTTTTATTACAATATTTATTATCTATATCACCTCTGGCTTTACTGCTTTTCTTAGTTCAATGATTTAGTAAATACCATTACTATTATATTGTCATTAATAAATGGTAAAAATATTATTATTTTATTTTTGTTGTGTTGAAAATTCTAGATAGACTTAATGGCTTGTTCTATACGCCATGCTTATTAAAAAAAAAAAAAAAAAAAATTGAAATGACGCCACTGAAATAATGTAACATCAGCAGCAATACAACGTAGTTACTGGTTCAGTTTTTCACAGTTTGTTTGATTTGATGCTGTACCTCTTGTACTTTTTTCAGGCAGGCGATCCGAACAATCAATAGACCAGGGTTTCTAGATAAGCTTATGTATTGCATTAGTAATAATTATTTTGCAATTAATTTAAATTAACCACGGTCGCATCACGGCTTTCATGTCTATTTCAATATTGTTGTAGTTATTTAAATAGAATTAAAATTAAAATCAATTCCTTGTAGTATTTAACTGATTAAAAACTATAAATTCATTTTCGAAACTTGCTCACATGATCAGCCAACCCCAATTTCGAGGCTCTTAAATTAAAGTGTTTAGTATAATTAGTATATTGGATTGATTATCTAGGTGGTTACGCATTACGCGTTTTAGACGCTAGCGAACGCGTTTCAAAAACGCGGCGTTGAAACGTCGAAAAGTAAAACTGTACGAGTTGCGTACAGACTACCGCGGAACCATACGTGTTCGGCAGCGGTCGACGCATCTAGACGCGTGTATTATGCGTTCTAAAAACGTGAGTAGTTCCGCGATAGTATGTACACCTTTATGCAAGTAATGCCTGTTAGTTATGTGATGTTAGTAAAGCCTAACCTGTAGCTTTCAACTACTACATAAGCCTAATTGTTAGAAAAGTTAAGTAGATTAAATCAGTCGAATAAGCAAATTTCGATAAATTTTTTTTTTCGTGTTTGAACCAAGAACATGAATAAATGGGTTATACTTATCAAATCGAACTGCGATATTTTACTGACCAATTTATTTTATTCATAGCGTATATAAATTATTTTTATGAACTATTTAATAATTATTTTGGTTGAATATAAAAACAACTTTAACCAAAATAAAAAAATATCCTTAATATAACAATAACTTGTGGACATTTTAAATATTGTATTATGTGTAATAATTATAATTACTGTTTTTAAATGTTTTTCACCTGTAATATACCTATACAATTTAAAAATATTTTTGGTTATTTATTATGTTAATCTGTTGGTGCCCTAATAGGGCCCGTTTTAAATGTTTGCTCCAGGTCCCATTAAATATTCTATAAATCCGGGCCCGTGTGAGATGTACTAATTCAACAACGGATTTTCGTTATTTTTATCAAATAATTTATACAGACCAATGTTGAAAGTAACAATTACAATAAATCATGTTTCAACATCGATAATAATGAAATAATATTATGTTCCAAACGAATCGACAGCATTTTGTGGTCTTGTCGGGGCGAAACATTCCTCATACACATAAACACACGTCATCATATTGTCGATAAAACCCTGCGTCTCTTAAGTACACTTTGTATACCTGGCACGGTAGTATATAACAACGCCTTGCGAGGCGTACTGACGAATACAAATAACAACTGCAACATTCTGTACACAGGTTTATCGTATATTCTTGTTTCTTATTATTTACAATACATAATAATATAGTCACTATATAAAAATAAAGGTCAACGTGTACAGATCAAGCCTTTAAACAACTTACATATTCAAAAAAAAAAAAAAAAAATGTGTACAAATCAGTCCTTTACAGAAAAAAATAAAACGCATGTAAAATAAAAATATTTCGTCTTGAGGCACTGAAGTCATTGGTATTTAGAAAACCTGCAATACACATGACAGTAACTTCAAATTAATCCTACGGTATCTTAATCTAAGCTTTGGAGAGACTTCGTTAGTGATTTTCAAAGTTTTCGGCTCCGACGCAAATCTCGCTTTTACCACGGTTAGTCTCGAAAACAAACGGTAAATAATAATAATAATAATACGATATAGTATATAAAATAAAAGAACACTACTATTTCCTTTTGATTGAGTAAAAAAAGAAAAAAAAAGCAATAAACCTCTTATTTCTCGTACACAAATATTACGCAAAATAATAATAATAATAATAATAATAATAATAATAATATGTGTAACGAGGTAAAACTGCGTCAGCGAGCGTCGACGTACGACTGTATCCGATGTCAATACATTACGAACAAGTGATATTATCGTAATTATTATTATAATTCCGTCGTTCCGTAGAAATCGTAATTATAATAATAATAATAATAATAATAACAATAATAATAATAATAATAATGGTACGATCACGAAGAATTCCGTAAACACACGAGTTGCACGTGCACGTGCGTGACGACGTCGCGTCGTTTTCACATGTAATTCACGGACGTGCACCCGTTGCCTTTGGGCTCGCCGGCGGTCCATCGTCTCTGGTGGTCGACCGTCGCGTTGTCGTAGTGGAACTGATGGTGGAGCTGCTGCTGCTGGTGAGGGCCACCGCGGGACTCGTTCGGCACACGGGGCGATCCGCTGCCGACGCTGTAGCACGACGACGTGCGGTCCAGCGACGCGGGGCTGATGCTGTACGCGGTGCCCGGCGGTGCGGCGTGTTTGCCCCGCTTGATCGAGTGCGTGTAGTCCCGGGTGCCGCGCCGCCTCAGCGTGAAGTCTCGCTCGCCGGTCACCTGATACTGCTTCTTCCACTGCACCCAGCAGTGCCTGTAGATCGGGTCCACCGGGCCCCAGTTCCGCGACGGTTTGATGGTGCTCAGGAATTTCTGCGGGCGAAACGCCAAGTCAAACGAGTGATTTGGTTTGTGCGATTTCCGCGTGACGTTTTCAAAGTGTTACGTCAGCAGACTAGGAACGGGCAGGCGGTGTTCAACGTTTCAACGAGGAACGGGTGAGGGGGTACACCTTGATTGTTATGCCAGCGTCACGTCTTTTGAAATTCGGATTGACGCGCCGAAAACTACCGATAACATCAATGAAGACGTATCTCTCTATTCTTATCATCTTTAACTCGATAGTTGAAGAAATTAACATAAAGAATTAAACAGTTTGCGGGGATCTACGGAAAATGTTGAAGTAATATAGGAGGGTCACTGTCAGACGTACGCTGACATGAGAGAGAAGGGTAAAAAGATCTAAGGAATGTGCTGACTTAATACTCGAATGCTCCCAAAACAAAAAAAAAAATACCGCGAGCCGGTCATAGGACTGCGTGTATTGGTTGACCATGTGCGCAAGATGATCTTTGAAGCTCGAGTATGCTCAGCCGTTCGTTATGCTTGAATTGTGAGTTTTTTTTTTAGATTATGATTTTTGTATCAGAACTTTTGGAATCATTAGAGTCTAACTGTATAGCCCTGGGAATAATTTCCCCTGTACAACGATCGAATAGTCGACTAAATAAACTCCGGTATAGGTGGGCTGCCCGATTACTAAAACTTTGAAAGCTGGCGATGAAGTTTGAGGTTAAAAATTCCGAACACCTAGTGATAAAATATTGATGTTGGTTTGGAATCAATTAATCGGTTTCAAATGACTTATTTCACGTAATCGACGTAGTTTTCATTAGTATAATTTAAATGTAAAACAAGGGTTAGGCATACTTTAAATCAAAAAAAGATCGCCCTGCGCAACAAGCGGCACGTGGATTAACTATTTGAACACTCACTTGCGAAAAATTGTAGTCAACCTGGGCGGATATCTGCCACACAGCTATTCCAATGATTAGCGACCACACGAACAGGTAAACGATCCAACCAATCACGTAAAGCCACATGGAGTCGTGAGAGCTGTAGTCGGACTCGGTCAGCGGCATCACAAACAGACTCCAAAACTCGAACACCTGCGTACATCGACATTTTTCTTTAAATGTACATACAATATATTATTACACATAAATATTTTCGACACTTGCGTTCACCGTAAAGGAATATGTATTTAAAGATTGTGCAATTTATTTAAAAAAAACCTCCCTTATGAGTTTTCAAAATAGTTTTTTTTACTAAGCGATAGAGAACTTTAAAGCTCCATAAGTAGAGACGACGTCGATTTCCTGTCGCCGGACACAGTTTTACACTGTAAATTTTCCTAACGTACCATGCGAAAGCTGCGGTGCGACCACAAACTTAACCTAAGTATAATTAACAAGATAATGACTACTTTTTTTGAACGTTTTTTTTATACACTATGTATTAAAATTGTTATTACTATTATAGTCTTATCACTATCGTATCACTTTGGAAAAATTATGTTATGACAACATTTAATTTTAATTTTCGATTTACACACACTATAAAAATCTCAAAGATATAACGTCAATTAACGATTTAAGATATTATATAAGTTTTCAAAATTAATGTTTTATATTGAATCGTTCATGCATAAACATTGAACTTGTTAAACAAATTGATATGTTATTTGTTCGAATAGAAAGTTACACAGTTTCTAATTTTAATTATTTTTCGGTGGGCGTAAGAAAAACGAAATGCTTAAGAATACCGTCCGTAAAAGTTAATCCTCAACAAATCTGTATGCACGTACCATGAATAATATCGGTGTGCTCAACCATATGGACTTCCACGCGAAGCACAGTTTGTAGCCGAGTACGAATTCAAAGTCGTTGGATAATGACTCCAACCCATAAATCCAAACAAAACCAATCAGCTCTAGCACCGTTGACGTGATGATCATGCGGCCGACGATGTACTCGTCCAGCAAATGAATGGCTTGAAGGTTCTCCTATGAAATTCGTGAAGGAATAAAAAGAATATCCGTCAGCACTCGAATCGGTAATGTGATCTCGATGACGAAATGTCGAGCCGTAATACTTACTGGCAAAAGACATAAGACGCCCATCAAAAAACCGATGAAACAGACGGTGCACGTCAAAATCCACCATTTCCACTTCTCTTTGGTCTCCACGGACAGCCCAACGACCGTGGTATATGTAGCCGCTATCTACGAAATGAACATAAAACAATTCTACGTGTCAGTTAAACTCCAAATGACAGGACATGAATAGGATGCTAACAACAATAATAATATATGACGGCCATGAGCACACAATTTAGGTCAAATTCACTCAGACCGAAATTACCAAGTTATGGGTATGCCATGTAGTAATTATTCATCTAACGTATTATATGAGTATAGTATTTATTTGCTAAGTCTCTTCCGTACTCATTAACGTCCTTGAAATATAATAATTATGATAACATTTATATGATAAATTATTTCTCATTTGTATAACTCGTATTTGATACATTTTTGTGATGAAAATTTCATTTATTTTTTATTTTTTATTGTTATTGTTAAATAATAATTATTTGATTTTAAAACAATTTTGGAATAGATATTATATAGAGCTCTATTCTTGAACTGCTATCTAAATTAATATAGACTATACAAATAGTAAACATTTTAAGTGATATCGATCGGGAATAGTGAATTTTAGTACGGTTTCAAACCTAAATTCAGACTATTTAGAATGAACAAAATTATTTTAATATTACTATGTAAAAATATTTCAATTTTTATGTCTTTTTTTTTTATACTACTTTTTCCGATAGAAATCGATTCATAATATTTACATTTATCAAAAATATAAAATCTATCAAAAATGAAGAGCTAACGAATTCAATTAATTTTCAAAATTAAATTCTGTTGATAATTTAAAATACTTAAATTTTTGTTAACATTTTAAGGAAAAATTACCGCATTAAGTGCATTTGGCTCTCAAAAGATATAGAAATTCATGCACGTATAGGGATTACATTCTGCACTTTTATTTATTCTACTATGTGCGGTGACAATTATTTACTATTTGTAACGTGAAAACGCATAATTTAAAATTTGCCTATCCAATAATTCTAAGAAAAGTATTGTCTCCCTGAAAACAGACAGGTTTCGATATTTAGCCGTGGAATTGTACTAACTGAAATATCGATATTCCGCTGGGAGGACGCTAGTGCGACAAGTAGGGTAAAAAGTACAAGTAGAAGGCAAGTAGGTGATAGGTAATGCTTTTGGATTTTATCTGAGGTTTTTTGTTTAGTTACATGAATTATTTGTTATCCAAAACATATTGATGGTTAGTTGTTTTGGTCAAAACTCGATGTATACTTTTACTTCATTGAATGTTGCAGTGTATTGTTCGATTAAGAACTTGGTCAACATTTAAACAACAAAGATTAACTGATTAGCCTTATTCAATACGCATCGAGGATATTTAAGTGGAAATTAACACAATCATAGATAGATTTGCAAATGAGAAAAAAAGATCTATATTATTTTAATAAATTGCTAATTTTTTTATGTCGTTAGGAGATAAAATAAAATCATGTGTTAAAATTTAAGCATGTTATTTGTATAAGTACTGAAATATTATTTTGTTTTGATGTACATTTCAGGTTTCAAAACGCCTTTTCGATTGAGTTTCACACTACTGCGTACAAACATTTACAATCCGTGGCCACAGGGTTGACATTGTCATGTACCGACGAGAAATAATAAATAAATAAACACGCAACGTGAACATTAAATGTACATAAACGCGTGCTGTGTTATTGCTTACCAAACTCAGGAACCCCGAAAGGAACACTAGCGCGTAGACGAGCGTGGCCCACAGGTCGGAAAGTATTCCTTTGGCCGTCAATTCGTACACGAACGTCAAGAACCAAACTTCGGACAGGGCCGCGGTAGACGACACGATCGCGCCGGATTGTTGCATGTCGTAAATCCACATGGTGGCTATCGAAACGCCGCTCACGCCAACGATAATGCTGACCACCGTGAGCATTACGGAAGTCCTGTGAAAAATTTCGATTTTAAACTAGACGACCTCCGGAAACGGAGAGCGAAAATCACGCCGACTTACCAAAAAGGATTAGACTTGGAGTACAGGCGGCCGGCACAAGTTGTGATGTTCCCGAATCCCAAATGAGTGGTGAAGAAAAACTGTACAATGGCATGGTACCATATCTGGAATGCAATAAAACAATAAACATTGTAACATACGTTTAGTAAAAAAAGTGTCGATTTCTCGTAAACGCATACGCGCACATCGTGCAAGAACGCATACGAGTGCCAACGTTGAAATGATAAACAGACGCTCGCGACGATCCGGATGACCGAATCGGACGGACGACATCAGTCTACACGCGTACGTACGCCAAAAGCGAAATTTAAGAATTTCGTATGGTACCCTTAATGAGACGTTTAATTCTTTCCGAGAGAAAAAAAAATACGATCAAGTGTTTGTTTGTACTTTTGACCCGGAGCGATAGAGATGTTCAAAGAAATAAAAATAAAAGTTGGCAAACTACGCGTGCTAGTTAAACAACAAATAACAATTATAACACACGTACGTCTAGTTTCCACAAAGTTTCCCATTTGATGTCCAACAGTATTTCCAGTCCTCGTTGATTCGCGTTAAGTCCTTTAACCAATAAAACTGCGATGGTTACAAACGTAGCGGGCACTACTAGCAACGCGGCCGTTCGGTAGGATTTACTGTTTTTTATAAGGCTAAAAACAAAATTAAAAACAAATGTAATGATTAACATGATTCTTATAGATATGTATGTATGTTGTACATTGTGTAATTGTTTAAACGGCTACTAATAAATAGAATAAAAAAAAACAATCGTAAGATCTAAGATCTACACAAGAGATTCGAATTTCGACACTAACTGTTCTTACCGATATAATATCGTCGGTTTGTGGTAATTAAATTGCTATGTTAATTAATTCGTAAACAGAGAATTAGCCAATGTCATTCTATTATCGTGATGTACATATAAAAGTTAATTTACTGATGAGTCGTCGTGGATATATTTCAATTTTATTAGTTGTTCATATAGTGTTATTAAACCATTAGGCAAACTAATTTATACTCCCGAGTGACCTACTAGAATCAGTACCTAGTTATGTTTATTTAATTTACATCGGAATGCGGGTATCAATTTTAATCGTACACACAACTCCCTTGGGGGGGGGGGGGTAGGAGAAATACGTCGCCATTGCTCAAAAAAGGAAATTTTCTATATAACTATGTAATATAACGAATTATCTACGCAGAGGTATCGAATCCCAAAAAATGTAGATTAGAAAGTTAACTTATAAGATTACGAGACACCACCAAAGGCGATTTAGCACCTTCGAACGGAGCTATGGTAAAAACATTTTGAAGTGGGTGGATCACTATGTCAGTGCTGAGTAGTTAGTAACATAGTTACATACTCGTAATTTACATATTAAAATTAAAGGAGTTATAATATAAACCGAAGAATATTTTTGGGATTGGAGGATAATGTTACCTATGGTAAGTTTTAACCCGGTATGATGTATGGTAAATGTTCAAACTGCTTTTGGATACCACCAATGGATTAATATTTTAATGGTATTTGTCCTATACGAACAATATTAATAAATAAACAAGACGCATCGATACTAGATAGCGAATACGAGTTAATTGTTAATTGTGTTTGTTTAGAGTTCGAAAAAAATAATAATTCGCTGACCAGAGGACTACCGACGATCCGCCAAAACATTGTGTTAGGGACATTATTATCGGTTATCTGCCCTATCACAATATAGGGTACGGGCGCCGTTGTTGACGCGTACCCTGTACAGGTTTGAAAACGTAATCATAATACGCACACGTACGTAACACGTGTCGTCAACGAAGTTATTGATACATGCTCGTATATGTGTGTGTGTGTGTGTGTGTGCGTGTGTGCGTGCGGCGTAACTATTCAGATCTCGTAGAGCGCACGTGAATTACAATAAATTAATAGATTAGTGTTCACGCGACGGTTTCCAATCGTGTACCCACAACGTACCCTTGACCGGTAAAAAAATCGGTTACGTCCGAAGGTTCGGTTAGGTATTCCGAAAACGCTCGTGTACAGTGCACGGAGGTGTTGGGCGAAACAATCGAACACGACGAGGAAAACGTATTGTTATTACGATATCCAATATGCAAATGCGTTGCAGTTACACGCGGCGGATCGCGTTATTTGGTGAGTGCGCACGGATTGCAGAGGTGTTGCATTGATCACCGCGCTCGCGTCATCCGCCCTAAACGCCGCACAGAATCGCACGCCAATAACGCAACACAATGTTTACCGTGTGAGTAGGTACTGAACGACGCACGGGCGCGAAACACTGAACGGCACACCGCCGCGCTGGTGCGCAATGACCGCGGAACATTGCAAATACTATGCTGTTACGTTTGCCATTAGAATATTAGCGTACCTTATCGCCACTACGATCCAGATGAGCAACAACAGCAGAACGTCCATGGCGATCCACTGCCAATTCAAGTGCGGGGGTTTGATAAACGTTTGCTGGAGACATTCTTCGCCGCTGTTGAAATGTGAGCTGGATCCATGCTGTGAGTCGTCGCGGGGGCGGAAATAAAAACATCGTACGCGTTACGATTTAATAATAACGACGAAGCGTTCATAAAGTACATTTTATTATGCATACAACCTTATATAGGTTGGTACGTACGTGCTAGAAATGTAAACCCGAACCGACCTCAAACGGGACTGTTCATTTCCGTTCTCAAAACGAAGATTTTCGAAATTTGTGTTTTAGACGGTTCGCGTAAAAATAACGAAAGCAAAATGCTGAAGATTGATTAATAATGAACTCGTAATGAAAAAATTGAAAAGTTTTTCTTCTCGGAAATCATAATTGTTATCGAAATCATTATAATTGAATTGAATATATATATATATATATATATATATATATAAAAGAATATTGTGAATAAAAAAAATCACAGGTCCTTTTAGTCGAGGAACATAAGATTATTATTAAGATCTGAGTGTGAACATGCAATTGTAAATTATAATTTAAAAGTTAATAAAAAATATACCAATAATAAATTATTAACTACTGTTGCGTGTCCGTTCATAAATTTTAAGCTAACATTGCGTGTTATACAATACAACACGAGTTTTCGCAACGGAATGAATGTAAACTTTTAATAAAAATATGACATATTATGTATTTTTTTAAGTCGTAAATTATACGAGATTGGATATCGAACTCAAAACACGACAAGTAATATTTAATATCGATTACCTATCTACAAATTATTAATATAAACGCTCGGTTGAACGATTCGGGTTCCAAGCCTAGAGGAAGATTGTCATAAAGACGTCATCTAATAAATCACGATATGCACACCTCCCACGAGTCATTACACCGATTCAAGTGTGCGGTATGCATGACAAAAGACAAATAATATTATGCTTACGAAAAAGTTGATAGAATTACTGCACTCCGGAAACGGGATACTTCCTATGATACTGCGCGAACCGTAAAACAACGATAACGCCATGATTATCGGATAGTACGCGGCCAGTAACAAGGAAGCTAGGACTTTGACGAAGCCGACACCTGAGAGTGGGCAAAAAAAAACACATTGATAGCATAAAACTTTAGGTTAAACGCGTGACATCGTCTTTTGTAACGAATATTAAGGACACTAACCTTTGAGCAACGGCACCGCTCTCCATAACTTAGTAGTACCCTGTTGACAAAACTGACCGAGCGTTATCTCCAAGAATAACAATGGCACTCCGAACACTAAGGCCACTGCGAGGTATGATACCAGAAAAGTACCTGTATTATAAAAAAAAAAAAAAATAGTATACATTTTTGTTTTAGAAAAAATGCGTCTTATGTAATTATTATCTTGAGAAATGCACTCGTGTGTACGTTGCTTTTATTGTTATAATTTATTGTGGAAGCAAATAAAGAACCGGATTTTTGAGACTGGGGCTTCAAAAATAGTGAATAAGACTTCTCCAAACAAATCAAAAAATATCTTGGAGCATTATACATACAAATTAAAAATCTAGTTTAACCGAAATGTATGCGACCTCGAGTCACTAATCTGAATTATACTCCAAATAGATTGAAACAAATTAGAAAGTAGTATAAAATAAAAGAAATTATGCATTTTATGTTATAAATGCATTTAGTTTTAATGCATGAGTGAACGCATAATTTTTTTTAAAGGAATATCATCAACACAATAATTATGGCTATATAATATTAACAATGTCAGTTATTATTTACGACGGTGTTGGGAGGTAATATTATAATATTTGTCTAAGTATCAATTTCGATCGATAATAAATTATGTGTAGACTTTTGTGTATAGCATCATATTATACCGCACTGACCGCAATTTATTAATCCGCGCACTACTCGTAACGCAATGACATTATTGTATAATACAATTATAGCTATTGTTTAGGGTCATGTACCTTCTTATGACCGAGTGTGCGCAATATTAAAATTTATAAAACCTATATTTTATTATTTATGAGGACTACCCATACTATATCCTACTAATAACTTCATATATGAAACAACTTCTCGATCAGGATGGTACAGAATACGGATTTATCATATATGTGTATATAGGTATATAAAATTATGAAAATACTTGAATTTTATTTCGTTATAATGACATAAACACAGCGATGTATAGGTTTAAAGTAAAATTTTAAATTTGTTGCCCGATAAACACAATTTTAAATATTCCATTGTTCTTACTAAAAACAAATCGTATTGAAAAACCTTAACTTTATCATTCTATAGGTTTATTATGTTTGACTGATTGATATTTTCAAATTCGTGTAAACTATTCTACACATTGTGATTTTAATGACTATCCACATTAATTACCGAAGCATTACACTCTGAAAATATTAACATGTTTTATTCGTTACAACTAGTTAATACATTTATTGTTATAATGTCATTCTTATTAATATACAACATTCATATCGATTGGCAAAAAGAGCTAAGCGACTACTTTAATACTTTTCGGAAGAAAAAATACAACTTTTCGTAGTGTTCTTATATCGACCGGCAATAGGAATAAAAATGGCATATTTTGTCTGTTGTTTGACCAATTTCCATTAGTCTCGCCTGTACCGAAATTAATAAATTAAATGTCTCACTGCTAAAGAATCAAAAACCAAAGAAACAACAGCACTATTGTAGTCGAATGCTATAAATGATTTAAAAAAAAACTATAGTATACACCGTGTCGCTTAGCTTTATAATGTCACTTAACTCATTTTGCTTTTTAACAGCTAGTAAAGTAATAATTATAGTTAATAATGTAAACAGTTATAATTATCAATAAGTAGCATTATGATGTAATAAATATATACCTATACATTGTTTTGTATAAGTTCACTGGTAACTGTCAAGCTGTCAACAAAATTGTGAATAGTAATTACCTACTTATATATTGGAATTTTTCGTAATAATCGGCGCAAAATCATAACAAAACAATTCGTAGTTTTTATTTTTACTTAATATCTCCTATTAGTTTATTCCCCTTATTTTTGAATATAAATTGAATAAGATTTTCGGATTAAATATTTATTACGCTTATTTATCGTGTATCGGTATTTATCACCAGATATTGTTTTATTTTATCAAATCACTTACCGATGAAATTGGTATCAAAAGGGGACCAAAAGACTCCCAAGATTTCTAAACGTTAGTCTTCGAAAGCTAGGGCTGTTGACTTTCCGTAAAACCACGAATAATGGGGAACATAATTTGGTTGTGGGAAGGGGGGGCAGTTGAATACAAAGTTCCACACGGGCGTGTGTATTAGTACTAATCATTATTAATAATGTGAGCATCGTCGACCTCGATTCGGTGCATTGACAATAATCGAATAATGTATAATCACATAAAACGCACACTAAAGGGACACACGTAAAAAAACGATAGATATAAAACACCTTTCGTACCAGTTTCACAACGATGGGTTCTCGAATAATGCGGAAAAACTATACTTACACGCACGTCGCCGTTTAACGACGTGTGTACGTGGGTACGAAGAGTTCATAAGCACGTCGGCGACGATCGATGGACGTACAATATATATTTAAGTACGGTATAAGGCGGTAGGGAAATTACACTCTTTTATTCCTCGTCATGGCAATTTTATCGAACCGCAAAAGTTATAGAACGTCGTATTAAAATAGTTCTGTACTACACACAAAGGTGTGATAATATTGACGACGTTATCATGTTTGTGTGTGTGTGTGTGTGTGTGTGTGTGTGTGTGTGTGTGTGTGTGT